AAGAAGTTAAAGAAAAAGGGAAAAACAAACAAGTAAAAAAACAAAACAAACAAAGAAACAAAAGTTGCAAAGATATAAACAGAGAGAGATAGTGTACTAATCAACAGTAAGCTAAACAGACATTAGAGAGACAGAGAGAGGATTAAAAAAAAATCTTCAAGTTCAAATGCAATAAAGTTTCAGTCTTAATAATTTTGGTGTTAGTCCCTCAGCCTCCAATCCTGGAGATGGTGTCTCAGAAGTAGTTCTGTTGTTGTCTCATCAAAGGGGAAAAAACCCAAAACAACCAAAACAAAACAAAACAAAAACACCACAAAGTGTCCCAAGTTCAAATGCAATACAGTTTCAGTAAGTTTTTCAGCAGGTAGATGTAGTTCGGTTTTTGTCTCATCAAAGGAAGAGAGGAAAACTAAAAAGAATCTGGAGACAGTTCTGTGAATGGCTATCTGCAGCTGTGGTCACCTGCCCACTGCTGTCAGCCTGCTGTTGCTGGAGGCTTTATTTATGCAGAACTCAGGAGTGAGCTTAACACTCATCTAGCCCCTCAGTCTTTGTTTATTTAGTGTTCTCCTGGGTGTAAGCCGCTGCTGCAAGCTTTCCCCCTTCCAAGCACACTGGTGGAGGTGACACTGCACCAGCTTTCTCAGGCCAGCGTGTTTATTTACAGTTCATGTGGGAAGTGGATCTTCTCCCCTCTCCTGTGGAGTTTTCCTCCCACCGCCACTTTTGCAAGCTTTCCTGCTCTTGGTTGCTGAGCATGTGCAGCTGATCCTGCCTTCTCTGGCCGGCTTCTTTATTTACAGTTCCCTTCCCCCGCCTTCAGTGCTCAGGGTGCCCTGCCCTCGTTGCTACATGTCTTTTTTGTTATTATTCAGTTTCTCTTTTTTTCCCCGGGTGGGGGTCAGTCTGTCCAGGGGGCTATGCTGATCTGGCCCAGGGTTGTCTGTGGGAGTACCACGTGCCACTTAGCTCACCTTGTGGTCTGCATCTTCCCAAGCCGTCTGGGCGCTGGCGTCTGGCAGTGCGGAAGCCCTCCTGGTTTCTCCATTTAACGTGAAGTGGAGATGCTATGCGCAGGCTGGGGGTGTGGAGGAGTCAAAGTTTTGCCTCTTCTCGGTGGTTTTTCCTGTAAGATGTATCTCCAGCATCTCTCCAAGATTTTACTTTAGGAAGCATGCTTTCTGCTTCCTCCCTCTAGCCACCATCTTGGAATCTCTGGATTAATGTTTCTATTTCTGCAAAAAAATATCATTGGAAATTTGATAGAGATTGCATTGACTATGTAGGTTGATTTGGGTATGTGAATCTTCTTTTTTTTTTAATATTTGGATATTTTATTGTTTTTCATTTACTTACATAAGTATACATTATTTGGGCCACCTCTCCCCTGCCTCCAATCTTACTTCTAAGTCATGAACATGAGATGTCTTTCTGCTTATTTGTCTTTAATCTGTTTTATCAGTGTCTTGTGGTTTTCATTGTTCAAGACTTTCTCCTAGGGTAACTAAATTCCTAAGTATTTCATTCTTTTTGGTGCTAATGTAGGTTGAATTGTTTTCTTAGTTTGCATTTTTCATTGTTAGAGATAAATACAAGTGATCCTGTGTGTTCATTTTGCATCTTGAGACTTTCCTGAATTCATTTGTTAGTTTTAACAGGGTGTGTGTGTGCATGTGTGTGTGTGAAAGGCAGTTGGTATTTCCTTTTTAAAATATTTTAGTTCTCTTCTTTAAAAGTATACAATAAAAACAGCTTTCTCACTGGTATAAGTTCAAGTAAACCACAAGAGCATAGACTAAAAAATGGCAGTGCCTCCTGTCTCATCTCCTCCCCTTTCAAAATTAGTCTCCTTCCCCTCCCCAATGGTAACCATCACTAACAGTTTGGAATTTGCTCTTGCAGATTTATTTCTTCTATCTTTATTAAGTATATTTTCTAAGTGTATGTTTCTTTTCTACTATTTTGCAAAAAAAAATTCCAAAAATGTAACATTTCCAGTTCTTACAGAAGGCCACCAGAAACTTGGGACAAAAATGATCATGATGTGTTTTCATTTAAAAACTATTGATATTATATTTTCCATTATTTATTTGAAAGAAAGAAAAATAAATTGATCCTTTTTATAGTTTCCAGAAACAAAGTCAGTTATTTAAAATGGCATCAAAATGTTAACAGTTGTGTAATTGGGAGAAATCCAATTGCAGCCAATCAGTTCAAAACCAAGTCTTTCCTAATGTGATCTTCAACTTCTCTCTCTCTCTCTTTCTGAACTTTAATTGAACTAGCTAACTAGTAAAACTACTTTCCTTGCATTACTTTCTTTCAACTTACTTTAGATAATATGAACACAGTCATTATAGTCTGTTGTCTGCTAAGTACTGTGTTGTTCATAGACAAGAAACCTTTTTCTTAGCTACACATGTCCCTGGCTAAACTCATGAAGAAATATAATGCTTACATACAGATTAAGTATAAAATACCTTCCTTTAACATATATACTTATGAAATGCAAAATGTTTATTCTGAAATGAAAAAAATTGTCAATGCATACTAAAAATATGCTGCTATCTTCTAATTGCATTTTTAATGAAAATGCAATGTTTAGCACCATGAGCAAAGTTTTTGCAAACTGATGAGAGTTGTTTTCATGTTTACACAGAAAACACGCTCTAGATTTCCCAACTTTTTCTAAGAAGTTAATTGGAAAAGTCAGTTTCTTTCTAGTTCCAAGGACTACACCCTATTAATATTTGATTTTTTAACAAGCTGTGTAAGCAAAAATATTGTATCATTAATAAATAAGTAATTTTCACTTCACTAAATTTCCTAGAAAAAACATACTCTATTGGTTCAAATACTAATATTAATATATATATATTATTTTTAGTTTCTTAAATCCTAACAACATTTGAATTAAACAACCTCAGTGAAATCTTTCAAAAAGGCCAGGTAATATAAAACTCTGGAATGTTCTATGAATAATTCTAAATCACTGGTCCAGGAAAGCCTTTGGAAGGTCATCTGTACTTTATGCCAAAGTTTTCATAACCCAGATAGTGAGTGGTAAAGAAATATGAATATTGTCTTCTTTCTTTACCAGTCAGAAACAGCTGCTCAAGATTACACACCATTATTCAGACTTAATTTTTTACACAGTATGGTTTAGAAGAAAGACACATTTGTTGAATTTCTTTACTAATTGTGCCATCTTTAACTGGACCAAGAAAACTTCAGTCTTGTTTTTATTTGAAGGATTCAGAATTTAATGTCTGAGTATTATATGAACTAGTTTAAAAATATACTTGCCAGCTCAAAAAGCAGGTTTCTATTGTTTCAAGCAATGATAAATAGAGATAAAATAGGCAATTGGAGTGGACTAAATAAATCTATCACCAACAGAGGACGAAAGCAATATGTTGACATGATAATGAACCAAAGTCGAGTTCACAAACAAGGTCATTTCACTGCATTATCTGATAAATGCCACAATGGAAAGTAATGGAAGAACTAGCAAGGCCCCCTGGGCTTTGCTCCAGCACAGCAAATAGTGGCGCTGGCCATTGCACCTGTGGTGCAGTGCCTTGCTGGCTTCTAACACTGCAATTTCAGGCACCAGGTGGGAACAATAGCTTTGCTACTCTGCCTAATAGAGCATCAATAAAACAGATCATGTGTCATGAGTGCATAAACCAACAAAGAGTAAAGAAAATTACAAGAGCATCAAGGCAGTATTTAGCTTTATATATCTTCCCTCAGAAGCACATTTATGTAAGGCTCTGCTTTTGTGGTGTGGTTAAAAACAACTTTTCTAATTTCAAATGTTTGCCATTTAGATTTTCTGGAAATACTTACTAAAGCCTGATGAAAACTCATTTGCTCTGCAAAGCTGAGTGCCATCGGTGCTTTTGGTCACTAAGTGTTGCTGGTGATGTCCATAAGGCACTACAATTTTGCTGTTTCTTCTTTTCTCTTTTCCTCTCCTGTCTCCTTTGAGACTCCTCTATTTTTAAATGACTCCATTGCAAGTTAAGAATGCATGCTAATAAAAAAAATCTAAAATTGTATTTTAGAAGTCTAATTTCCTTACCCTTAGATTTCCTGGATAATCTCATCAGGCCTTACATTTCCCATTGACTCACCAGAACTGGCCAGAAGTCACCACTATTTGAAATTTCTTCTAACTTTATATGTTTTGCAAATACATTTCTCAAGATAGTTTGACAGTTTAAACTTAGCTTTAAACTCAATACTAGTTAAATGTTAATGCTCATGATTTTCTTATTAGGAGTGCATGTGGCAGCATATGTATGAGTTGTCTAGACTCTGCTTTTCATGTTGGGAAGGGCAAGGCCACCAATCACTGGACACTAATTCATTCAGCTATTTGGGGGGGAAATGCTAGTGAGTGTACTGCCTTGGATTAACTCCTATGCGTAAATTTATCCTCTGTGAAAATGCATATTTGAACACATCCACCAAGGACTCCATATGCCTGTGAATAAACTGATGTGCGAGACACAAAATTGCTACTCCAATTCCTTTCTCACCATGCAAGAAGTATGGTGGGTGGGCACGTGTGAACTCTATAGTGGTAAATGCTCATTCGAAAAGAGCAATGTCCTTCCACCTCCTTTCTGCCAACCTCCACCCTGTGCATATTATGGCATGGTGTGTGATGTGTGGCCTAGTTACAAAATAGGTCACATCTTATTCCACAAAATTTGGATGTCACATCTATACTCTGAAACTGGCCTCTGTTTCTTAAAACAGTAATGAGAATTAAGTCTAGACGAGTCAAATTCTCCTCACTCGTGTATTTCTAGGAATTGCACTGACATTTGGCATTTATTAGTAATGTAAGGGTCTTCATTATTTTTCTGCTCTGTTCTAAAGACTTAACAAGAAATGCTTCTTCTGATGGCATTCTGTGCACTATGTTTTAATAACATTTTTTATTGTTCAGAAGCTTCATAAAACCATTTTGTTTTTTCCCTTGAAAGGTTTGAACAGGCTTTTATTACCAATTTGATCAGTAGTGCAGTGCAAACGAAGGACAGCTATTTTTGGATAGCTCTTCAAGACCAAAATGATACGGGAGAATACACCTGGAAGACGGCAGGGCAGAGACCTGAGCCAGTGCGCTATACACATTGGAATACACACCAACCCCGTGAGTAGACAGAACTGTAACACCAACTCTCTCCCATGCTGTGCTTCTGATTTCTCACCCAAATTTTCTTCTACCCTTTGGTCGCCTCCTGTGATTCTTACCTAATGTTTTCTTAATGCCTACATTAACTAAAATCATCAGGTCTGCAAGGGGGGACATATGGCTGGTCACTTTTTAAAGTACAGTCCACAGGCATCATTTGATACATTCAAGGTTTACGTTCAATGCTTGAGACACACTTGTCTTTAGTATCAGGAAGTCCAGTTTTTCCCTCCTCAAGCCTCACCCCAACCCACTCCAACCCACCTCATTGTCCAAGCACCACAATGGCTTACTCAGTCTACATCAATCCAACTATGGTGAATGGGCACATCTAATCAGTTAACAGTGACTGTCCCATGGCTTTGCCATACAATGTTGGCTCATTACTGAGGTAACATCATTGTTGCTCTTCCTCTTCTATGGACTCCTGTGGTTCCTTAGCCAGGATTATAAAGTCAGCAACTCTATTAATTCATCCTCATGTGCTCAGCTCTGGGTCTTAAAGCATGAATCTGTCATGGGATGGCCAGTTCCAGAGAAGCTAGTGGCTTTCACCCAACCAACACTAGAACCAGTAGAGGAACAAGCTTTAGGCCCTTATGCTAAACTTAGGTTAACAGCCTAGATCAAACACTTCTTCTTTATGTCAGGGCATATTCATTCGGATGCCTTGGTCCTGTTCTGGCTATGGGGCTCCATCACAGCTACACCAATAGACAACAGGCAACAGATTATGTTTGTATCTGGAGGAAATGGGCTAGAAGACTCAGGCTCTTCCTTCTCAGAAGGTCCTAAGTCAAACCCTTGTGCAAATTGGTCTATCCCATCTTTAGAGTTCTATATACCAAGATAGTTTTGACTAAGCTGCAGAGGGTGGGTTAGTGACCTCAAATTAAAATATTTTAAAAGCCACACAAGTCTTTTTTTCTCATAATTACAAAAGTCCAATCCAAGGTAGTTTCCTAATTCCAACTCCAGACAATGGTGGGCAAAGTGTCACCGGGTTTTTCAATTAATTACATTATGAACATATTCTCACTATAGGCAGTGACTATATATCCTCACTTGCCGATCATGTCCTATCTGTGTCTATTGTCCCAGAGCAATTTATAGCACCTATTTTTTTTCTGACTGGGACGAATCCATATAAATTATATGCATGCTATAAGTATAGGAAGTACACTAAGAAAAATGTGGAAGTCCTCTATCACATCCTTCTTTTCACCTCCCCAACACTTCCCTTCTCAGAAATAATCAGTTAACTGGTGTGGTCCTGCTGGTGTTTGTCTATGCATATATGAATGTGTGTGTAATTTTTAAGTGGAAATAAGATTACATATTTCAATTCTTTTCCTTTTTTAACTTAATAATCTGTGTTGGAGAACTTTCTACATCAATATTTATTCATCACTGTTTTAAGAGTCTTATTGAATATTAGGTTCTAACACATGAATTTTGGAGGGATATATACACTAAAGCTCTGGAAATAGGAAAGTGTGTGATAAAGGTTGTAAAAGGTACAAAATAAAGTATTCTAACAGTTAAAAGAGGAAAAATCAATTCCCACTGGAGTTACCATGAAAGTTCAAAGAGGGATAGGCTCCAGTGGCACACACCTACAATCTAGCTATTCAGGAGGCAGAGATCAGGAGGATCATGGTTCAAAGCCAGACCAGGAAAATAGTCCAGGGAAACCCTGTCTTGAAAACTCCCATCACAAAAAAAGGGCTGGCTGAGTGGCACAAGTGGTGAGAGTGCCTGTCTAGCAAGCATGAAGCCCTGAATTGAAACCCCAGTGCCGCCAAAAAAAAATGTTCAAAGAGGAAGTATCATATTCCCTGGGGTTTGAAATATGGTAGAATTTGATGGTTATAGAAATAAAAATAATTTTCTATGCATGGAAAAACATATGGAGCCAAGGAAACACTGAACATCTTTGAGGATGCTACATGCCAACTGGAGGGTAACATACATGAAAAAGAGTTATATATAAAAGGCAAAGCCAGGGGAGTGTATTGAAGCCACAGCTTCAGATTATAAGCTAAAGAGCTTTCACTTATTCTTTAGGTTTAGAGAGTCATTAGAGGTTTTAGATCAGGAAAATATCAGGATCAGAACTGTGAGACTGTGGGATCAGTAGAGTGCTTTGGCTATCATGATGAAGTCCTGGGCTCCATCCCCAGTATCAGAAAAAGAGACTGCACTGCAGGGTAGCCTATGTGTAAAAAGTACACATTATGGAGTCAGACTCAAATTGAAGTTCCAGCTATATGGCTTTAGATTTACTTTATCTCTCCATATTTGTTTCCCCATCATTAAGATAAGGCTGGTGATAGTATCTACCTCCCAGAACTATTGTGAGGATTAAAGGCAATATTACATAGTTCTGCTACATTGTTAATAATAAATATTAGTCTTATTGAAGGAAAAACATCTATAGGATTTTGCCTGAAGCTACATAGAATACCACAGTCTGTTAGGATTCCTCACCCATACATTCAAAGGCATGGGGCTTTCTCTGTGCTGGACCAGTCACCAATACGAGCACCCTGGAAAAATCACAGGGCCCTAAAGGAGGGGCTGACTATTGTCATTTTCTCAACACTTATGAGTCAGAGAGTAGTAAAGTTCCATGTCACACTATTCTGAAAAAAAAAAGAGAAAAAGCTCAGGTATCATTTCTACACACTGTGGAATTCTGTTAGGAATGTCTGCGCCTGTCAAAATAAATTAATACATTTTGAGTAGACAAGATTTTTGGTTTTTAATGTTAACTTCCTTGGGGCATATTTAGATGTCTAAAATCTAAAAACGAAGTAGAGCTCCTGTCATTCGTAAGTTTCTGCTGTAATTTATTTGAGTAGCACTACTCTTTTTCTCTTTTCCCTGAAGCAAAAATAATGCTGTGATGCTCAGTTTGGCTGCTCATGCTGACTGACATTGAGTAAATTGTCTCTGAATAAGATGAAAATGTAAATCTTTTTTGAAGAAAATAGCAATATAAAAGCCCCTGTGTTTCCTTTTTCTTTTAAATTACAGCTTGTAGAAACACCACCCTAAATCACGTTTTCTCACAAAAGAATCCATTAGCTTGGGCCTCATGTCAGAATCTTAATCCAGCATAAACTGACTATATAAATTGGCCACTGAACAGGAAGCCTATAGCTTTTTATAAACTCAGCCAAGACTATCCTATGTCATGCCAGCAAAGTATGCAATCCATAGAGGAATCACACACAGCTCTGCCATTTTTTTTTAACTTTGTGTTATGTTCACCAAATAATAATAATGAGCCACAAAAGGTAGCAATGATTGAATCATGCCCAATCTTGTTTTGGCTATACTCCCCCACCCACTTCCCATATTTTCTCACAGCAAATCCAAGACATCACATTGTTTCCTCCATAAATATTGCAGTATTATTTACAAAAAGTAAAGACTTCTTTGTTGAAAACATGATAAAACAATTACCACACCTGAAAGTAATTAACTATAATTCCATAACATCATAAATCTTCAGTTAATGCTCAAATTTCTAAGTGAACCATAAATATTGTAAATATTATATAGTGTATTTTAAAGTTTGTTTGAATTAAAATCCATATAAGGCTCACATATTGCTATTGGTTAATAGGTGTGATCAAGGAACCTTGATTTTTTTTTTTATGGGAAGAGCATTATTTCCATACTCAGAATAAGCAAATGGAGGCTCATTGTGGGTTTGTGCTTGTTTCTAGACCTGAAATTGCAGTGGCAGATCTAGGAAGTGTGTGTGTGTGTGTGTGTGTGTGTGTGTGTGTGTGTGTGTGTGTGTGTGTGTGTGTAAAAGATAACATATTGAGCTCAAATTGGTACTTTTAATTCAAATTCAGGAGTACAAGATTTTTTTACTTAACCTGTCTTTTATCTGTATTTTCTTTCTTTCATGCCAAAATTTTCCATTCTCAGAACACTGGAAAATTCTGCTGTTTTTACTTCTAAAAAACAACAAAGCGTCTCTATGGTCCTTGGTATTTTGAGAGAAATAAAATATTCAGGTGAAATAGGAAAACTGATTTTGATCTGCACTAACCACTGCCACTGATTAAAGGGAAAATGAAAAGTCAGCTTCTGGTTCAGGAAGAACTGAATGCGTGGAAACTGAAATGTTCTTTGTACTTAGATTAAAGATTCCATGTGAGCAGGGGCTGCCCTACAAGAAAGCAAATAGGTGAATCCATACTAGTTAAGATATTATAAAAGCTTTTTCAAGTTGCATGAGAGCTTCAGAGGAGTTCAAATAGAGAAGAAGAAACACTTGAGGTCAACATTTTAAAGCCATCTATAAGTTAGGCTCTGTGGTAAAGTCCTGTTCCTAAACCAAATGAAGAGGTAGGTTTTCCTCATGGGACAAATCCAGGGCCCCTTTACCCCAATTGTTTCTTGTCAATGGAAATCGTCCAGGGACAAGGAAAACTTGATCCCAGTCCAGCAATTCAGATTTGTTTTCTTGGAAATACTTTACACAGGGTGAGGGATAAGAAGGCTGACAGGTCACAGCAGACACAACTAGACAGGACACTCCATTTTAAGACCCCTCAGAGTCCTAAAGTGAACCTCCATATAAACGAAGACATACTCACCCTTTGGACATTTCCATATTTCCATACTTTTTCATAATCATATTAAGTAACTGCCATGCAAGGTAAAAATGTAATAGTAGTTCTTTAAGGAAATTCTATGGCCATATAAGAGAGAAAAATATGACCAGAAGAATGAGAAAGAACTCCATGGAAAAGGAGAGCATAGTTTGAAGAGAATTCATTTATTCATTTGACTACTATTATTGAATGCTTACCCACTCTGTACCTTGATATTGTCTCACAATTAGACTCAAATAAGTCTGACTTCAAGTCCCAGATCAATCCCTCACTAGCTCTGTAGCCTTTGACCACTTATAAAACCTGTGGGCCTCAATTTTCCCATTTGCAAAATGCAGATAATAATCCCTGCTCAGAGTGTTGGGAGTTGAATAGGGGAAAGACTGTATAAAATGCCTAGCACAGAGGCTGGCAGATGTACAGCAAGCACTCTGTGAGAGCTCACCTTTCATGCCTGATGAGCTTTACCTTTTTCTGTGGAGGAGAGACGGAATGAGAAAAGGTGGTGAGAGTAGAGGACTTAAGAGGTGAGTATGTGAGATTGCCATTGCAGAGAATGGCAAAATAAATAAACAGACTCAAGTAAAATAATTGTCTAGAGGCAGTAAGGCCCAACACAGTTCTCTCCTGCTCTGAGGCTGCAGATTGGTTTGATTGTTTGGTTTATATTTAGGTATGTGACCAGAGAGTTTGAAGATGGTGGCTTTCCCAGTCCAGCTCATTTCCTATGGTTAGGTAGCTTTGTCAAATGAAAAAGACTAGAATAGTGAATTAGACTTCCTTCAGGTTTTCCCATTGAAGTTTGAGTGGAAGGGAATGGGGGATGGGTGTGGGTAAAGCAGTTAAGTCTCAAGAATTCCTTAAAATGTGAGATTTGCTGCTGAGGAAAAGTGATTATAATTTTTTTCTCCAATAGGAAGTGAGTTATCAAATGAAAGAATAATTTCTCTTGGAGAAAAACCACCTCTGCATTTCTCCCCACCCTTCCCTTATTATTTGGCTTTGCAAGCATCCCTCGAATTGCCTTATAAATTCAGTTTATAACTCCCTTAGCCCAGCCTCCCTTTATTACACCATTTTACTGCTTCTTTGGGGCTGAGACTCTAAAATTTGGGTCAAATGTTCCATTAAGTTAACCGCTTTAGAATACCAATAACACTCTTGCGGCACTTTTTGTCTTCACGTGGGTCACAAACATCTCCTTCCTCATTAATGAAGATGACTAGAATATCTGTAGTATCTAAAACCATAGCTACTTAATCATTGTCTGGTGTGGGGAAGTGTGAGACAAAATGCAAGACCAACAAAAAAGAATATTACAGTTTAAACTTCCTGATTCAAACCTTTAAAAAATTCTTCACATATGCAGGTAGAACTTGTGCCACAAAATCACAGTTTTCTTAATGAAAAGGACCATAGGAAGAATAGCAACATCTTAGGCGTGTTTATAGCGCTTAAAGAGTGCTTTTTAATATATTGTTTCATTTCATCTTTATGAAAACTCATAAGTAGAGACAGAATTATTATCCAAATATTTTATACAAGATTGTGATTCATTAACCTGCTCAAATTTCAGGTTACCAAATATTTGTACTGGGACTAGAACCCCAGACTTCAGGTTCCAAGTTAAAAGTTCTTCATAGGAGATTTCCCACCTATGCTCTGCAGAAAATGGAAGTTCCACTGGGATGCCTCAAAGGAAGGACGAGGGAATTAGGCAAGAGTGCATATTTTCCTTCCTCTTTCAACCAGAACAGCTCCACTTACATGACATTTGGGGCTTCCATGTGCATCTCTACAATTCAGCTTCATTGCCCAGAATACACAGTATCTCCTCTATTGTTCATGACCTAGGTAGGTTGTGAGCTGCATTCTTAAATTATTCTCAACAGGCTACAAAGCTCCGTTCACAGCAGAAGCACAGAAAAATATAGTTTCTCCCCCTTGCCTGCACCCAACCCTCCATCTTTAGCACTAAGTAGCTGTTCTGGACCAGTGGAGATGTCTAATGGCCTTTGCACAAACCATTGCTTACCCTCCTTTTGTTCTTTATGGGCCATGTTTAGCATATTTCCTCTTTTATGACTGGCTATGTTCACCTTTAGGGGTCTCTTTGATGCATCAGCTCACACACAAACACACAAGACTGTGAACTTCCTGTGGATAGGGACTGCCTTGTCAGCATGATACCCAGTACCTAACGCAGGGTGTATACCAAGATAGTCGGAGGCACAAATGCCTTTAGCTTTTTCTTCTTTCTTCTTTTTCATCAAATTCCATTTCATTCCATTCCTCCAGGAAATATTTTTGTATGTCTTCCCCACCCTCTTTCTTCTCTTTCCCACTCTTCATTTTTCAGTCTTTCTGTGATTATAAAACAACCAAAACATGGTTGACAAGGATAATGCATTACCCAATATCTAAAAAAAAAAAAAAAAAAAAAATTGAAGCCATTACTTCTGAAAGAAAATTAAGCAAGATAAATATCTAGTACCAAGTGACAATATTCTTTTAAAGTGCCTCTACATCTTAGGTCTTCAGATACATCCTCCATTATCACTTGCTTTTTATAAGCCTACCTTGACAATTCTGTTCTCCGTTTTCATCCTTCAAAACTCAGCTCAAATGTTACTTCCCACAAATCCTTTACTGATACATATGTTCAGGCAGGCTCCATCAACCCTTCTGAAGTCTACTCCAGAACTTACAATGCACCCTTTCCTATCACTTAACACATCGTGTTTATAGCAATTGATTGTTTATGCATTTGGGACTCACATTAAGCCAAGAGTTGGCTTTTGTTTGGTTTATTTTGTCCTCTCTCTGTAGAAACTAATATATAGTACAGCCAGGCACATTGTAGATATGTAATTTTTTGTGGCTGTTGAATGTCAGTTTAGTTCATTAATGGTTACCCTGAATTCAAGAGAAAAACATTCTTATTCAATTTTTATTCTATTTTTAGAATAGAATTGTTTTCTACTACTCTTCACTAAAAATTTGAAGTGTATTTTTAGCTGTCTAATGCATTGTATAGATTTTGCACAAACTTAAGGGTCTTAATTTATAAATTGCCCCTAAGGAAAAATATATTTCATACACCAAAATGTTCAACAGACATAAAAGTGCAGTTTTATCCATAACTGAATAATCTATCACCTTTCCCAATATTTCACACAAAACTATGAATGTGACGGGGAAAGAATCTCTGTATTCTGCTTCTCATTTCTCTGATAACTGCCCCTGTTTCTGCCCCCAGAGCTTTCCTCCTATTTCACAAATTTATCTTATTCTCTCCAGTGTCCAGGGCTTTATGGCTTACAGCTCTGTTCTTTGTTGTGTATCTTGTAGTCTACCTTGAATGCATTATTCATGTAAGTATTTTTTCTCTTGAGTCTAAGTCTCAGAGGATGAGCACTATGCACTTTCATTGTTGATTTTTCACAATGGCATTTCACAGCAAGCATTGAGCTATGGGGAATATTTCAGCTCCATGTAGGAAGAGCTCCCAGTTTCCCACCATTTGCCATCTGAGCTCAAAGTAGACAATATCCAAATTTCAGGCTTCACAGCCTCTTTTCTCTCGTTTCCAACTTTTATTCTTTTCTCTAGAGAGGAAGAAAAATGAGATAATCATGCCAGTAAAGCATTCTTTTTAATCTTTCTTGTTCTTCTCTGGGTGCTTCATTATGAGATGTCAATTATTTGGCACTCTGATGAGCTGTCTTCTGAGCACAAAATGTTTTAATCATCTGATATTAAAATAATTGTTTCCTGCTTTTAGGTGACAGTGGTGGCTGTGTTGTCATGAGAGGAAGGCGTCCACTTGGCCGCTGGGAAGTAAAGGACTGTAGACATTTTAAAGCAATGTCTCTGTGTAAGCAGTCAATTGAAAATCGAAAGAGAACAGAACATGAAGAAAGATGGCCCTTTCACCCCTGTCATTTGGATTGGGAGTCACAGCCTGGTCTGACCAGTTGCTTCAAGGTGATACCAAAGTTACTTAGGCATTCTCAACAATGCCAACATTATTTCTACTTGACCCATATATCATAAATTGCTTTATTCCAGCACCATGTTTCCAGAATAGTACCTGGCATACAGCAGGTGCCTTATGAATATTACCTTTCTCTCTCCTTTTGCTTGTATTCCAAATAACTTAAGTCAAAAATTGGCACACTCTAGTGACCTTGAAGGACTCATGAAGAATGATGTCTGTTAAGCAGAAATACCATGCAGCAGTGTGAATCCCAAGGAAGGAACTCCATGCACTGCTTATCAATCCTGAGAAAGGATTCTAAACACCTGACCAGTTTCTAATAAGGTTCCTAGTTCTGGCAGGAGATTTTGTAAAAACTTAGCTGCCAGAGTCTGAGTCTAGTGAGATACAAAATTCACACAAGTCAGGAGAGCAACTTTATTATTCACAGATGGGCTCCAAGAAGCAATAGAAGCCTAGAATCCTAACAAATCCATCCCCCAACACTCAGGAAAGCTGCCCATGGCAGATAGACCCTCATCTGCATGTGCCCCACTTCCTACCACAGCTGATTCCGAAAGTACTTCTCTCTGTGTTTTACTTCTTAGTGACAGTTGTGTCAGGGCTAAAGTATTTTAGAACATCCTGTTCCTCCTTGCCTCAGGATGTTGTATTCTCAGTGCATTCTGCCTCAGATTGAAATCAAGAAGGGGAAGAGTTGAATCACCCAAGGTCATTTAGGGACCTGTCCTAAAATACTGAGTCAGCAATGTTCTTGTTGCCAAACATATGCCAAATGAAGGAAGCCAGTGCTCATGGGGTATTAAATGTACAATATGGCTTCTGGAGTAGCTCAAGTGTGTGGTCCTGAGTTCAAATCCCAGGACCACTAAAAAAAGTATAATTTCATATTTGTTTTAAGACCTTGAATAAAGTATTTCTTAAGGAATAATATCATTCTTGTACTAAAAATAGCTTTTGTAGCTTGTTTGAAAAACAAACAAGGAGACCTTTACCTGAAATGCTTGGGATGAGAAGAGTTTTGGATTGCAGATTTGGGGATATTTGCATATACATGATGAGATATCTTGGAGTTGAGACTTAAGTGTAAACACAAAATTCATTTGTATTTCACATATACCATGTACACATATATATATGCATATACATATAACATATACACTGTAATTTATATAGTATTTTTAGTAATTTTGTGCATGAAACAAAGTCTGTGTACCTAGCACTATCAGAAAGCAAAAATGTCACTAAAACACAAAAAGTTTCAGATTTTATAGCACTTTAGATTTTGGACTTTCAGATTAAAGATGGTCAACATTATATGCTATAATTTATAGAATCATTGAAGAAATGTCAATTTGAAATGTCTATTTGAAAATCAGCTTTAGATCCTAGATTTAAAACAGTTCCTATAGTCTTTTTATTAGAAATATGATTTTTGAAATATGACATTTTTATGTTTGGTAGTTGTGTCTTTCTTTGTTTTATAGATACAGATTCCTCAAATCCCAAAAGAAAGTTCTTCCCCAGAAGTTGGGCACAAAAGAACAGAATGAAAACAGACTAACTTCACAGATATTGCAGCTCATACATGGCATGAAGCACCCACGAATGCATTCCATTTAAATGTACACATGTAAAATCCTACATTACATTCAAAGAATAATAGGTACAGAAGTCACCTCACAGAGCAATAAGTTAAACTAGAAATGAATAAACTGAGGCCAGTGAGACGAAGTGATTTACCCAAGATCACAATTATTTGTTGACAGAGTTGGAATAAATTCCTGGTCTTGGGACTTGCGCTCCAGTGCTTTTTCTACAATATATTATTCTGATATGTCAACAAATGCATGGCATGTTTGATGTGCATGGTGGCAGAATTTATGAATTTAGAGTGATTCAGGAAGAGGTTCCCAGAGGAGGCAAGTTTTGACATATAATTTAAAAGATGGAAAGGCTGTGCTGTGGTCCACAGGACTTGGAAAGCTATCCATTCTGGTCTCAGCAAATCAGAGCCTGATTTTTGCTGCCCACAGCGTGTACCTGCCTGGCATCTGAGCTGTAGGTTTACTGCTGGGCCATTAAAAATGCGGAAGGTGCAGAGGTCCCTAATCAGGAGCTCTAGGTCTTCAGTCACTCTCTCTAATCTTAAATAAAGGCAAAAGTAGACCCTCCATCCAACCAATTTCTTCCTGCGACCATGAAGTCTGCTTAGAAACAGTATAAAATTTAAACATAAACCACTGCACTACCAGTTGGTCTCAAACCCAAAGACCCTAAAATATACCTGCACCTGCCCTAGAAATCAGGCTTCATTTCTCATTTCTTGCCATGGCTCAGTAGATTTATCGTTAGTCAGCTAATTCTAATTTGTCAGAAGGCAAGATGCTGGGGTAGAAATTCACGGATTCTGGAAGCAAGGAGTCCCGGTCTAATTCTAGTTCTGCCAGTTTGTAGGTGTGTGAATTGAAATTCTTAACCTCTCTTAGCCTGAGTTTCCTCGTCTCTTGACAAATGCTTATTGAGGGGAAAATTATATGCCAGTCATAGGAGATTTAGTGAAAAAAAAAGTCTTCAAGGAATTTATTTATAAAACTGAGTTTATCATATTTTCCTTATGCACTTACAGTGAGGATAAAATGAGCTAATAGTTTTACAGTTACTAGGCACCTTATAGTCCAATAAATGTTACTTCTATTAGGTCATGCTTTCAATCAAGAGCAATGAAGGGGGTCAGGGGGCATGGTTCAGTGGTAGAGTGTATGCTTAGTATGCAAGAAGCCCTGAATACAATCTCCAGCACAAAAAAAGAAAAAGAATAAAAAATTATATTACTATTATTTTTTTAAGCAGAATTGAATAGCCTCACTTTATCCATGACAATATTTTTTTTCCTTTACTGTACAGGTATTTCATAGTGAAAAAGTCCTGATGAAAAGAACATGGAGAGAAGCTGAAGCATTTTGTGAAGAATTTGGAGCTCATCTTGCAAGTTTTGCCCATATTGAAGAAGAAAATTTTGTGAATGAGCTTTTACATTCAAAATTTAACTGGTAAAGACTTGTTAATTTTGAAAAAATTACAGTCAAATTTTGTCATTCAGTTAATGACTTCTTAGCCAATTGTATACCAACTTTAGTTATCTAAAGTTCAAGCATTCATTTCAAGCCTAAAGCCAACTAATCACTAGTTGTGAAAGAAAAAATATATATATTCATATAGTTTTGCATTTATCTTGTACCAAGTTTACATTTGACAAAACAAAGTGACAATTATATAACTCGATGGTTTTCCAAGTATTGTCTGAGGATCCCAGAGGTTCTGGAACCCCAGGAGCAGAAGAGATCAAATGGGCATAGCTTTGGTTCCTTTGCTCCATGACTCACCAGGGCAGTTCCAACCAACTTGCCTCATTGTTGAGTTTTTTTTTTCTTTTTTTATTTTTATTTTATTTTTTATTGTTATCCTGGGTGGAGATACATTGTAACATTTACAAAAGTTCTTATACTATATCAAATATATCATACTTGAATTCACTCCTTCCACCATTCTCCTCCCTTCCCCCCTTCTTGGAATAGTTTCAACAGATAATCATTTTTCTGTTTATATACATGTGTACACAGTGTTTGCACCATATTAACCCTCCTTAAGATAGGAGTCTGATTCTGTTTGAAAAAAAAAATTCCAGTGATGAAAAGAAATTCAAATTCAACTCAAATTTTACATTTGAGTAAACAGGAGTTAGCTTATTGGTGTCCATTTGCAAGTTTATAGAATCTCAAATTCCTTGGAGTTAGAAACTCAAGTAATTTTAAATTGGAAGAAACCTAAAGGTCTTGAGTTATCTCCTACCCAATACAGTAATTCCTTCCACCACCTCCTCCATGGTTATCATCTGTGTGCTGAATTCCTTCCAGTTTCACAGTGCCCTGAGCCTGGGAGAAAGTCCATTCCATTGGTGGAAGCTGGTTTCCAAGACAACTTCTAGTAAACCAGAAATCTGCCTCCATCAGTTTAGAGTTAGAGCAATACAAATCAAGTGTACTCTGTTTTAAAATATTTGAAGACTGCCCCTCACTATGTCTCTTTTATGTGAGTCCTTTCACCCCTTGGACTCTTGCTCTAGAATGTTTTTGTCAGCCTGCATCCTTTTGGGGAATATTTTTCATGGAAGGAGCACAGACACATGCACAGCTGAATGGAGAATCAATCTAACAGACATGACAGACAAAAGCCCGCCCCTGAGGATGTGCTGGTCTCAGGGTGGCATTGCTCCAAGGCTCCAGACATTTATTTAATGAAAACAAATGTAATGCCAAGTTCTTTGCTCAAAGCTCTAGAACCTAGAACTTCAATAAAACACTTCTCTTCTTTTTTCCTGATGAATCCTTTTATTTATTTTTTTAATTATTCATTTATTCACATGTGCATACATTGTTTGGGTCATTTCTCCCCCTGTCTCCCTTCCCCGCTCTCTCCCCCCTTCCTTCCAGGCAGATCCTGTTCTGCCCTTATCACTAATTTTGTTGAAGAGAAGATAAAAGCATAATAAGGAAGACAAAGTGTTTTTGCTAGTTGAGATAAGGATAGCTATACAGAAAGATCCTAGCATTGCTTTCATGTACATGTGTTACAACCCATGTTGATTCATCTCTAACTGATCTTTACATTGGTTCCTGATCCCCTTCTCATGTTAACCTCTGTCACTTTAGGATTTCTGTATTAGTTCCTCTGGAATGGGGACATCAAACGCTTTCATGTTTGGGTTTTCTATCTAACCCCGTACCTCCCATATATGTTCTCCCCTTGTCATGTGATCCAAGTCCAACAACACTGCTGCATTTGCCCTAGATTTAAAGTCCGAATATGAGGGAGAACATACAATTTTTGGTCTTCTGAGCCTGGCTGACCTCACTCAGAATGATGTTCTCCAGTTCCATCTATTTACCTACAAATGATAAGATTTCATTCTTCTTTATGGCTGAGTAAAATTCCATTGTGTACAAGTACCACATTTTCTTGATCCATTCATCAATAGTGGGGCATCTTGGTTGTAATACAACACTTTTCTAAATCTCAGAGAAAATTCAGAACTATTTTTTGAGAAAAATTCTGGCCTTCCCTATAAGTTTCCTTGTAGGTTATTCCCATAAATAATATCCATCAAATCATTCATTCTCAGCATTTACAAAAATAATCAGGAAGGTAGAGTTTTGACAACATCTCCAAATATGAGTCTCATGGAATATTCCATACAGAAAGCAGAATTGTAAAGTGATGTACAGTCTTGTAAATTTGCTGTGAAAGTTTGTTGTAAAGAAGGAAGCACTTTGACAAGATCCCTTTTTTTTTAGAACATTTCTTAACATCTCCTGGAACTGCTAGTCTCTATAGGAAATGCTGGCCTGAGACCGTACATCCAGAGCCTGACTGATTGTCACACTCACTTGGGACAACTTTTAGCACAGAAATTTCTGGAACCACACCAGAGCTGCTGAATCAGACTCTGGGACTGACATTTAAGAAGCTCCCTGGTTAATTGGATTATTAGTCAGGTGTGGGCTTATAGTTACAAGGGACAGGTGACAGTCTTTGTTGTTCTAATTGTGCTATGCTTCATTACTTTAGCCTCTTGCAAAACATACTTGTATATTCTGCCCTTAGATTGTAGTGAGGTTTCCTATATTGAACAACAGCATGCCTACTACTTCCCAGTTTGCTGTAAGATCAAATATTCTTGTCATTTCTGTGTATATAAGTGATCCCACTTAAAATTTCTAGTAGAATTTAGTGCCAGGCATCTATCAAATTATTATTACCATTAATAACAAAAGTTGTATAATATATGTTTTATTTTTGTCCATACTACCCAGGGAATGCAGCCAAATCATATGTGTGTTTATTTTAAAACTGCACAATTTTAGGAAATTAATGGAGAAAAAATAATGTCAATGTTTTCTGCAAACCAGTGAAGTATGAAAAACTAAGAACTGTGAATTCATTGAGAAAAGAAATAAAATATTCTCAGCACAAAGAGAGTGGTGTGAATTTTTATTCTGTGCCATGGAGATTATTTTACCTGGAATAACCTTATCGTGGTTATTCTCACCTTCTCACAACCTTAAATGTAAGGTGCATCATGACAGTAGCCAACCAGGGACCAATGATTGCTCAAATTCTTTAATTTACACTTGACTTTAATTTGTATCATCCAAGCATAGTAGCTCAAATAGCTAAGAAGTGATGCTTTGGAATAGATTTGCTTCTCTGCACGACTTCTGAATCTTTTAAATCTTTAATTCTTCAAAATTGTTCTCAGAGAATTATCTTAGTGAGATGTTTCGTTGCACAATTAGGCTTTATTGCTTGATTTATTGAGTACTCTGCAATTTGACATATTTGTACTCTGCCTAATAGGAGGGAAGATGATTCTCTATGGAGCTTCTTGCCAAGTCTAAGCCATCAGTGATGGCCGAAGTTAATCTACCATGGCTCAGGCTGATTTGCTGCAGATTTATTTATATTAGGATCTGAGAAAAAAAAAAAAAAACAAAACCTTCTGTGTATCTTTTATTAAATGTGGATAATGGTGCTTAGGTTTCAGAAAATACATGAACATTTGACAAAAGAGCAACAAATCAAAGCATAGCGAAGCAGTATAAATACTAAAGTAGCAAGTAAACAGTAAAATAGAAAAAAGCCCTCTAGGGAAAAGATGTTCCAAAATTTCTTACCAAACCTGTTTTCATGTGTTTTTGTCTTGGGTAAAAGGCATTGCCATGTCTGCTGGGAAACCCGTGTCTCAATATGGGTTGACTTTTCCTCAATTGCATGTTACCCATGAGCAAACTACATAAACCAAGAGAAAAAGAATGTGAATCTCAGTGTTCTCTCAGTTCATTTCAGAGCACAGGGGTTTGCACATAAAAAATCCTATTAACTTGATCAGTCCAAAAAGTTGCATCAGCTGTTTCCTGTACTCATAAATATTTTTAAAGATTTCTTGAACCTTTTCTTTAATGCTGGGAATTTGATGGGAAAGGCTAAGTTTTTGTTTCTTCTCTTCCTAGGACAGAAGAAAGACAATTCTGGATTGGATTTAATAAAAGAAACCCACTGAATGCCGGTTCTTGGGAGTGGTCTGATAGAACTCCTGTAAGTCTTTCCAAACTGGACAAGAGTTGAATTCAAGACAAGTGGCCCTGGAACCACTTGGTAAACTAAGAGAATCTAGAAAAAATGACCATATCTCCCATGACAAAACTGTACTATACCTTGGAACCAAGGGTTAATTTAAGGTCCTGGAAATCCTTTGCTGACCAGATTGTTCTGAGACTCCTATAGTAGCTCATCCTGAAATGGAATCAAACCCTCCAAAAAGTCCTCCCCCCCACCCCCAACTATTTATCACATGAAGAGTCATCTGGCAGAGAAACAGCTCTTCTTTGAAATAATACCAGGCTTCCCAATCTATCCCTCCTTTTCTACATAGAACCTGATTGGGTGAGCATAGAATTCTTGTCCATGTCACAATGAAAATAAGACTGTTTTGGAGACTGATTTTTCAGTTTGTCTCACTCTAAAAGGACAGAAATGACACCAGCTTTAAAATATCATGTCCTCTTCAACCAGAGTAAGTAGCTCTAGAAGGAAAAAAAGGGGAGGAGGAAAGTGGTTTTTCATTCTGTCTCATACTTACAAACCTCAGTGAAGAAGAGAGAGAACTCACTAATGCATTACTTTTCAGGTGCAATGAGGAATTTTTCTCAAAATGACAGAGAAAAAAAAAACAAAAACAATATCCCAATTGAAATGCAATCCATCCCAGGGCATATGCAAAATCAAGTGTTCCTGTTTCATTTTGGAAGGGGGAGGCTCACGGAGCCTACAGTGAGGGATTTGTGCAGCTGCTGTGCACTGAGCCCTCCCAGTGTCCCATGCACTGAGCTGAATGCACTCCTACGAGATCTCATTTCATCCTTACAATAGCTCACAGCAGTCTGCATTAGAAAGATCAGTAGTCTGCCCAAAATAATGTGGAGGGAGCCATAATTTGCACACAGGTTGTCTGACTCCAAAGACACAATGTTATGATACCTCCCTATTGGCAAAATATGAACAGCAGCCATACTTTGAAATAATAAAGAAAAGCCCATTACAAAAGTGAGGTTCAAATCTGCAGCAGGAAGGAACTTATTTAAAAAAATAAAAAGCTTTGTGCTTCTAATGGGACATGTGAGTTTAAAAAAATGATAATAATACCATTTCCCCTCAAATATTGCTTCTTTGAAAGGGTATCAGGAACAGACAGTGGGAAGGTATCTTAGACATCACTCCGCTGTGATTTATTATCAAATTTTCTATTTTGATAATAAAGAAACCAAGGCCAAGGAGAAGAGGCACTAACAACAATCTAGCACTTAAAAGACAAGATATGATACATAGAGGATAGAAAAACTTCATTTTGTTTTAGTAAAACAAAATCATTAATAGGAGAGTAATGACAATTTGGTTCAGGAAAAATGAGAATATGGTCACAAAACAATACACTGAAGTTCTCATCACTCCCCAGACAAAATGAGTTAAGCTCACACTGTTCTCTGAACCTGAGGACACATATATTTATGTAAGATGAATTGTTGCATAGCCGTGTATGTGTTTGAGGCGTACAGATGGTTTTAAAGCACCCTCTTTTTTTTCCCCACATTTTTACCCCAGTTTTTCTTGTGTTTCATGTAGTCTTGTCAGGTAGTCATTAAATACTTGAGAAGGTTGAATCTATACTCCTGTTATGGGAATTATGTGAGCTATGTGATCACTCCTGGAAAGTATTGGCTAGTCTTCTGATTAAAAATCTAGCTACATTATTACAGATTAAAAGCTTAGCCTATATGCAAAATAATTAGCATGGAAGGTGATCCCAGATCTTGGAGGAACATTTGTACCTGAGCTTCCAAGAAGTTTACCCAAGATCCCAGGGCTAGATTCATCCTGCCTGTTAAAAAAATGCAAGCTCAGAATGAAGCTTGTGTCTGATTTCTTTCTTTTGGAGAAAGGAGTAGCATCCATTAAAGCATCTTTAAGAAAAAATACTAAATACTAATTAGCCTGTTTTTCATAAATGTGGACCAACCTTTAACTGAAATAACCTCTAGACATTTCTGAACTTCCTCTAGAAATTGCTAATAATTAAATGCATGGATACCTTTTCTGATCTTTTGGAACTCTTTTGTGGGGGATCATCCTTAAGAAGTAATGAACTTCATCTGCTGCAGGTTGTCTCTTCATTTTTAGACAATACTTATTTTGGAGAAGATGCAAGAAACTGTGCTGTGTATAAGGCAAACAAAACATTGCTGCCCTTACATTGTGGTTCCAAACGAGAATGGATTTGCAAAATTCCAAGAGGTAAAAATATTAATAAGATCTTTACTATATGTTTGGCTTCTGATCATATATAGTACTTTTCCAAGGAAAGAAATTCAAAATCTAAAATCCAACCACTGAACCAAAATGCTGTCAACTTGCATAATGAGCCAACTGCACTATTTTAGTAAAGAATGTATCACGGGAAAATGAGAAAAGACAGCACTAGTGCCCTGTGTCAAGTTAGTTCATTGGGATGAGGTAAGCAGCTAACCATGGAATATTTGCTGTGCAAGTACAGTCAGAAAGAAATGTCACCCTGACATTACAGAAAAACAGAATTTCTTGTACAATGAGCACATGGAAGCTGCTAGTACAGTGCATGACACACAGTAGGCTCTCAGCAAGTGTTATTTATGTCTTTAATTAGAGACCTCTCTGGAGGTTCTTCTTCATGTAAAAGAACTAACCATATATCCCGGACGGCACAAGGTACCTGTTTTTTAACTAATTTTTAAAAAGGTGAAGTACTATATAGTGTGTTTAGACTGAAGTATTTCAGACCCAGCGCATCTGAAGGAAAGTCAGTTAAGGTGGCTTGCTTTTACTTTGCAGATGTGAGGCCTAGCATTCCATCCTGGTACATGTACGGTAAGAACAATCTTGGCAGTTCTCAAATTTCTAATTATATGCCATATGAAGATGATTACATGCCATGGTTGTACACTCCTACAACCAACCTCTTTTCTTGTATCAATCTAGAGCTAATTTGTTGAAATTAATAAGTCAGTAATTAATAATCAAATTAATAAATGTGACCATTAAATATGATTGAAATGAACATAATTACTTAACTCGATTTCCATGACACATGATTTTAAAGTATATATGTATCCCTGATCTTTGAGTACTAGTGAAAATTTCTTGTGTGAGGTAGACCAAGGAAAATATGCAAATTGCATGTTTATGTGCATGCATGTCTCTTTCTTCACATATGTCTGTACCCATTTTTAATGCTGAAATTAAAATTAAAAATGCAGGGTCAATCGTAGTATACAATATTCCAGTCTGCATTGTTTCTCTCAGCATTGGCATCGTTTATTTTTCTTTCAGATGCTCCCTGGCTCTTTTATCAGAATGCAGAGTACCTTTTCCATACCCACACTGCAGAATGGCCTGCGTTTAAGTTTGTCTGTGGCTGGCTGCGTGGTGATCTTCTCTCAATTCATTCTGCACAGGAGCAAGAATTCATCTACAGCAAAATAAAAGTGGTACTGGAATGCAATTCCCCCATGAGTAATTCAGGGTTTAACACCTTCTTCTGTCCTTGGGGGGATTTTTTTTTTTTAATTTGACTTTTACACATTCAAGTTGCAGTAAAAATCATAGATTTTTGAGCGTTGTTTTTCTTCCTGTTGTAGAGATTAAGAGAAAATAATGGAGAAACAAGTTTACTCTGTTGCTCTGTCTTTTCACTTTTCTTCATTCTTTATTAGCAAAAGTGGTAACTAAGTAGAGTTTTGTTTTGTGAGGTTCATTCAGTCATTCAACATACACTTACTGAGAACCTTCCAGAGACTAGAATTCTAGCAGTGATTAAAACTTACCAAAATTCCTAGCCTTATGGAGTTTATGAACTAGTCTGGAAAGAAAGATCATAATCAAGACAAGTAATAGAATTACATAATATATTAGGAAAAAGGTAAATATAAAAATGTCACAAAGGAAAATAAAGCTCAAATGAGAGATGAGTATTTTGGGGGAGGGGTACATTGCAATTTTAAAGCTTCAAATCTTACATGAGTAAATGATTTTGAAATTGTAAAGATGTGATGCATAGAAAATGGTAAGCAGTGTTTCCATTAGGTTAGCCTAATCCTTTGAGGAACTAGGCTAATTAAACAAGAAGCATGCAAGACCTACTATATAATAAAAATAAACTGCTAAGGAACAGTGTACTTTTCAATATATTCCTACAGTAAGCATTTATCATGCATCACATATGTTCCAGGTAAGTGATAATATTTGTCAGGGACATGAAAATGTAGGTGACACAGTCTCTTGTTTTCAAGGTTGTTGTATATACATACACACACATATATATTTCAAAACATCATGCTGTACATAATAAATGAATACAATTTTATCTGTCAGTTTTTCAACATTAAAAAATAAAAATAATTCTTAAAAAGTTGGAAGTGATAGGATGTAGTAAGTAAAAAAGAAGCAGTGAGAACAAATTACCAGGAGGTCAGCAAAGAGGGAGAACCTCACTCCCAAATTTCCCTAAAATATCTCTGAAATGAAAAAAAAAGTCCTTTTTCTCTATGAATTTAGCCATAATTCATTATCTCCAGGAATCTTTCCTCTTACTATCTTTTCTTATCTTTTAAGTTGACTGTTAAAATGAAGTTCTATATTAAGCCATCTTAAGCTTGTAAGAAAAATGTCTTCTCTCACAGCTTATGGTATACCCAGTGATGTGCAAGTGGGTCAGGAATTTTAACTCTTTATGATGGGAAAGCCAAGAAACAGAGACGTTAGTTGACACCCATGTGGTCCCACATAGGCTCAGTGGCAGAACAACCATGGGATCCATGATGGTCCCAATATCAGTTCATACACTGTGTTGCCATTCTTCTATTCTTACAAATGAAACACTCAAGCCAAAACCATAATGTTCAATGTCAACAAATCATATACCATGATATCAGAAAATCTGTTTGTTTCTTCAGTCATTTGACCAAAGAGTACTTACTGTAACAGTGCCAAGCATTGTGCTAAGTACTAACAATCTTTCCAGAAGCCCTCAGTGGAAAGTCTATTAGCACAATTTAGAGATAAGGAAGCTTAGACTCCCAAAAAACTAAACAACTTGGTTACACAGCAACTAAGTCATGGAGTTTGGAAAGGAACTCAGGCCTGTGACAAAGGAACAGAAGGGTCTGGGACATTTAAGAGCATACTGTCTTCATTATTTTAAAATGCTAGTTCTAAAATCCCTCCTCCAAAGGTGGTATCAGCTCTGTCTCAGACTTGAACAGTGAAAGGGTTCTGTGATCTTTCCAACAGAGCTTAGCTCTCCTGGGAACTTCTATAAATCTCTCTTCACCTTTCCTCTTAATTTGTCTTCTAATCTTTGGGAGGTAGGAAGGCAGTGGGGATGGCAGAGTTAATAACCTCTAATAGAACAGAATACAAGGCCCTACAGCTTCAGCATTTTGAGAGGTCATATTCATGATCTGGTTGAGGACTTTGATCTCAAATCAAACCTTGTGCTGTCTTCCATGGCAAAATTGTTAACCTACCTATGATGATGTTAATATAGAAAGAAGGCCTTGTCAGAGTTGTAACATAAGCTGCTGTCTTAGGAGTAGCCCACAGTGCCAGAAAAGAATATTCTTGGAGAATATAAAATATAGACACTGAGAAAGGGGCAAAGAGACTATTTTAGTCCATTTGGGCTGTTGCTTATAAACAACAGTTTATTTCCCACAGTTCTGGAGACTGAAAGCCCAAGATGCAAGCACTGGTAGGTTCCATGTTTGGTGATGACCCACTTCCTGGTTCATAGACAGCTATCTCTCTCTTTGTTTCTTCACATAGCAAAAGGGAGAGTTCTCTGGGGTCACTTTTATAGTGGCTCTAATCCCTTTCATAAGGACTCCACCCTCACGAGCTCATTAATTTTCAAAGATCCCACTTCCTAATTTATTACCTTATAATTTACCTTACCTTAAATTGGGATGGGGGACAAAGGAGAAGGGCATCAAATTAGAAAGAAGAAAGTGGTATATTTCCAAGAAATTCTTATTTCTAGCTATGTTTGACAATTTTTTTTGTTGGTGGTGATGGTAGGATTTACTGTGATCATTAACATTTTACAAGTAAGAAATCCCATTCCTAAGAACATCCTATTAAGATAGGTCAATAAGGAGAAATTGCTTTATTCCAGGATGAGGAGCCAAACTTCTAGAGGTCATGTCATATGCTTTTGTGACACATCCGTCCTATAAATGTAGGAAGCATCAGAATAAGTAATTAAGTACTTTTAAAATTACCCTTGTGTTTTACATACATGGCTGGTGAATAGAATTGTGAAAAAAAAAACATTTAATTGGATAATAGAAAAACATTATGAATCAGAAAACTGGATACAGTTTCAAAAATCTGAAACAAAAAAATTTACAAAATATTTGAATCTTGAAAAAAAGAATGTCAGTGTCTTCTCTCCTACTCTTTGAATAATAGGCCACAGAAAATTATCACACTGATTTTTAAAACATTTTTAAAAAATATTTTATAGACCCATCTATACAATCAGGTTAATGATGAAAAAGTTAAAGCAGTTAGGAGTTATTTGACATGAATACCTCACCAACCAGTCCACTTGACTAAACATTCGTATGTTGTGGTATATTTTCTCTGCATTCTGAAATGGCAATTTACCATTATTTTAAAATTTTATATTTCTAAACACACACACACACACACACACACACACACACGCACACAATCCACTAGTCCTCCTCCAAAATCTGGTATTTTAAACCTTAAAATTAGTTGGTTTTGCCATTTTTGATGGAAACATTTTAAAAGATGATAGGCTGTTTCTCATATTGCTTAGTAGATTAACAAACTTTGTGTTTTATATCTTTATGCTAAGTGTTCTTCCAATATGATACTAGCTATAATGGCTATCTACATATCATAAAACATAATTTGTGCTATAAAATTCATGGTCCTATCATGTTTCTGTTTTACAAAAACATATTAGTTTTCTCGTTTGTGACCTTATAAGTAAACTAAAATCTCAATCATTTACTTTTCACATTGGATTTTTTTCAGACTGGGTATCTTCCATCTTGTCCTATCACAATAAGTTGTGATGGGCTGTGTGGGAGATTACCGTACCATAATTGAGGTGGTAATAAATATGTCACTTCAGATGTAGTAGTTATGATTTCTCTTTAGAGGTTCTTAATTGAGGCTGTGAGCAATCAAGGCATGATTTCCACTACTGTTGCACACATGACCTCTTCTAGATGAAATAAATTGTTGTGGTTCTCCCACTGAGTTCACAGCCAGTCTCAATGGACCCATTCCAAAGTCTGACAATGGGAATCTAAATTCAACGTGTAAGAACACGTCCATGAAACACCTCAGGGGTCCAAAATTATAGTTGTTCCATCTTGCATTATCCTCAAATTGTTGATATGGCAGACTGCCATACTATTGAAGGAGTAAAAATACCTGTTTCTAAATTAGAATGTTAGTAAGCTATTAGGATCTGTTGTGTGATGAACTGAAATTCACAGGGAAAAGTGATATGTCTTAAAATTTATTCTCAAATCTTTATAAAAAGAAATGAGAGTGCAAACTTAAATACATAATGCCTTCAAATTAGCAGGTTTTTAGCATATGAAAATTAAGTTGCATTTCAGCACACACACAATAAAGTATACTGATTTAGAAAGTCTCAGAGAAATCCTTACTGCCTCTTCATCTTTTCTAGTTAAATAGGTAACTTCCCTTTCCTGGGTCCTAAATTGTATCACGTCTTCTCTAATGCGTGTACTTATATGTGTGCATGTGTACTTATATGCACATGTTTCAATTGTATACTTTATTGTGCTTAGGCTCAAGTGATTAATATTGGTATAAATTAATAAAATATATAAAGGGTAATTTTCTGGTTGTCAAATACTGGAATTCTGTTGTATTCTTTTGTCCTGTATTGTGTCTATTTGAATGCTAATGCTGCTTAAAGCCTAACATTCAGACTAATACCTAAAAATCAAAATTTTTTCTTCTATTGAGGTCTTTGTACCTATTTTTCAAGTAAATGTGACATCTTCAATAAGATTCCATAAATCACTGAGAGAAAAAGCTACTAATTTTTTTAGTCAGAAAAGGAATCCATCTTTTATTTTACTTTGTAATAGTACTTTTTAAATCACTCTTAAAGAGTTAGAAAATTTGCTTTTCAAGTTGTATGAGCTAAAATTATTTTTGATGTTTGATTCCAATTTTCTTTCATAAAGAGGAGGGAATATTTTAGAATAAGAAGTTTCAGATTTTCTCAAGATGCTAGGCCTCTTCCTTAGGTAACTGAGTAAAGTACTAAAGGATAGAAAGCTATTAGCAGCAACCCCATTAATCTTAGTAGGAAAAAAGAAAACAAGAAGAATAAATTCTGATATTTTCTTTCTTCTTTTTTTTTTTAATAGCTATCAAAGTATGGTACAAATTGGTGGAATGGACTTCAAGAAGAGCAAGCCAATGATGAAATTCAGTATGAACCTAGATTAATTTGCATTTAATTTTATTTGACAAGTTTTATGTTTAGAATGATATGACTAGATCTTAGTGATGAATTTTTTGAATAGCCTTCCAGCATTATCTTTAGCCTACAAATTTTTATTCTCCTTTCCAAAACTACATTGTCTAAAATATACACCCATGAAACCATCACCAATCTATGCCATAAACATATCCATCACCTCCAAAAGCTTCTCCTGCCCTATTTATTTGCTTATTTTTGTGATAAGATCACTCAACATAAAAGTTATCCTCTTAGGAAATGTTTAAGTATACAACACTATAGATAGAATACTCTAAACCAGTATATTTTCTAAATTTAGAACTATTAGACCTTCAATCCATACCCCAGAACTTCAAGAATGGTGTTGGAGACTGAACATGTAAAACAAGACCTTAAAATTTTTTTAATTGTCCTATAGTTGGACAGATGGATCACCAGTAACATACCAGAACTGGGACCAAGGAAGAGACAGATCCATGAACAATCAGAGCCAGAGGTGTGGCTTCATTTCTTCCACAACAGGTTAGTTCATTTCTTCATGTTTGAGCTTAGAATGCAAACTGTTTTCTGGAGGCTTGAAGTTTCCTTTGCATTGCATCAGTTGAGTGAGAAGGTTGTTCTATTGTTTTACTTTTCAGTTGACTGTGTTTAGTCTAATCAGTCTTGAGGTTTATGGATGATCATTCCTTCTGTTTAATCTATGTACACATGTTCTTGAAAATAATGTACATCTGGATAAGTCCTTCCTCATGAAGCAAGACAGCATCAAAAATGGGCCCAATGAGACTGCTTAAAGCTGGATGCTAGTGCTTATGCTTGTAATTCTGGCTACTTGGGAGACTAAAATTCAGCAGTTCCATGCCAGCCTGGGCAAAAAAGTTTGTGAAACCCCATCTCAACGGAAAAAAACTGGGTGTGGTGGAACACATCTGTCATCCCAGCAATAGTGGAAAAATGTAAAATAGGAGGATTGCAATCCAGGCTAGCCTGGGCAAAAAGTGAGACCCATTTTCAAAATAACCAGAGCAAAAAGGGTTAGCGGTGTGGCTCAAGCAGTAGAGCACCTGCCTAGCAAATGCAAAACCCTGAGTTCAAACCCCATACTGCCAAATGCCTTTTGGAAATACTGCACATTTTAATCTATATCTGGATATGTATTTATATATTTAAATACAGACAAAATAAATGTTTCTTGTTCCTGTCCAACAATTAAGATTTAAAGTTAAGTTTTTCAAGGAAATACACTTAACATTTGGTGATGAAGTGAGAACAGAACTTAAAATATACACAAGACATCTACATGAATGAAGATATGGTGAAATGAAAAATGAAATGTACAAAACAATGTGGGTAATTCAAATAAATTAGAAAAATAGCAAATGTGAAAACATTAAAATGAATGAGTAAGTAAATATATGTGTGCATATATAATACACGTACATATGTGTATGTACATATATACATATATAGGTGTATATATGTCATATATATAAATATATATCTGACAAATACTATTCTCTGTGAAATTTCAGTGTGGAGTCATGTTTTACCTATTGTTAGTATCCAATTTATAAATTGGCCAGCACCTTAACCTCTGAATTTTACTTCCATTTTTCCTTTTATAAAGTCTTCATTCAATTCACTATCTTTTTAAAATACCAGGTACTAATTGCTGCTTGCTTTGAAAGAGCAATTATTTGCAAGTTGTATTTAAAAGCATTTTTAGGTTGAAGACCTGTTTGTTTCTTGTTCTTCATCACACCACTCACATCCACCCACACTTTCTAACCAATAAAAGATAACCATATCACTAACAGATTCATAAGTAGCCTGGGCCCCAGGTTGGGAGAAGGATTCACATGGAAAGCAATCCTTGATGGAGAGCCTCTGCAGTTAGGAAAAGAAAGAACTGTGTTGTTAATCAGCTTGCTTTTGCCAGCAGGTGTCACAACAGCCTACAGAAAGGGCTGTTTTGTGCATCTGGGAGAGGAACAGCTAATCTGCATTGAAATAGCACCTGGCCGCTCCCTTAAAGCTTTGGGGCTCATATTCCTGATACAAAGAACTGTACCTGCCCTTGCAATTTGCGTGCATTCTGCACTGTTCTGAAATTCATTACTTGAATGCTAACAAGATGCACTCTATAACTGTTATTCTGAAAATATAGCTCTTCTAAATTTAAAAAGCCTCCTTGTAGGAGGCTAAGGAGTTTAGGATATGTCTTACAGAGGACATGTTTATATTTGAGTGTTTTAACTCAAATATAATTCAGTATTAAGAAATTCTTTTTTCCTAGAAGTTCCTGATTTAATTTTTCTAAATTATTACACAGGTTGAGACTCTTTTACCCAAAATGCTTGGAACCAGAAGTATTTAAGATTTTGTAAGTTTTGGGACTTTGGAATATTTGCATAGATTTTACCAGTTAAGCACCCCTAGTACAAACATCTGAAATCTGAAATCCCTTGACATCTGGAACTTTTTGAGCATCATTTCAGAACTCAGAAGGTTTTTAATTATAGATTTTTAGATTAGGGATGCTCAATCTGTATTTTCTAAAGAATTATAAAGTAGCCGGGCACCAGAGGCTCACGCCTGTATTCCTAGCTTCTTAGGAGACTGAGATCAGGAGAATTAGGCTTCCATGCCTGCCAGAGCAAAGAAGTTAGCAAGACCCCATCTCAATGGAAAAAAGCTGGGCACAGTGACATATGTCTGTCATCCCAGCTACAACATGAAGTGTAAAATAAGATTGCAGTTCACACCAGCCTGGGCAAAAAATGAGACTATCTCCAAAATAACCAGAGCAAAAAGGATTGACCAGTACCACCAGAAAAAGAGAGAAAGAGAGAGAGAGAATTATAAAGTAGATATTATTGTGCTGTATGGCTCACAAGGTGTGATGTGTGCTATCATCTATTGTTTTAGACTCTTTTTTTCTCTGTACATTGAAGCTGAATATTTTAAAACAAAAATATTACTCTGTAAAGTATTATTTTGCTAACCATCTGAAATATTCTCAGGACTTTGATCAATTCTGTATTTCAATGGCAGCATTCGTTTTCTCCTTTTTTTTTTTTTTTGCATTTGTAAAATTTTTACATTCTTAAATTAGAATTACTGAGTTGGCACCTTGCCCAGTTAGCTGTTGTCACTAGGGAATTCTATAATTAATAATTGAGTTTAGTTCAGTTTCTACATTTAAAAAGTAAATTATGAAAAACCATAGTGGTCATAAAAATAGTGATCAATAAAGAATACCTACAAAGAATCACCACTGTTTCCAAGCCATTTATGACCCATTTTCTCCTCCAGGACTCTGGGGAAGTGAAGAGTGTTCAGTTTCTATGCCTGCTATTTGTAAACGAAAAACTGCTTGGGTCATAGAAAAAAAGAAAAATACACCAAAACAACATGGAACATGTCCCAAAGGATGGCTATATTTTAACTATAAGGTAAGCTTGTTTTCAAAAAGTTTCCTTTGTTTCTCTTTTGTAGATAATCACTTTGGAAAGTAATCAAATAGTTGGGGTGGCTTTTGGAAACTATGACTTATCCACAGGACCTGGAATGTTTTTATCACAACTTTCATGAGAGTTGAAAAGTTTTCCTCTTAGGAATAAACCTTCTGGAACAACAAGATTTTGTGGAAAACAGCCTTGATACTGCTCCTCATTTGTAGACTCGAGTTTTAGCATTGACAGTCATTTATTGTGCTATATAGCTCATGAGGTGTAATGTGTGTATGTGTGTACAGTGCAGGTATATATATGTATGTATGTGTGGGTGCCTAAACCCTGCTCCCAAGTGAGCTGTATACTCCAGAGGGCACAGACTCCATCTTCCCTTCTTGGAACTAGCAAAGAGCCCTGCCTACCTGTGAATGAACTGATAAACAAGTAACTTAGCCTACCTGTGAATGAACTGATAAACAAGTAACTTAGCCTACCTGTGAATGAACTGATAAACAAGTAACATCAGCTCATAAAGCTGATGCTTCCATGCAGAATTGAATTTAAGAAAAAAAGATTGCCAGTGGGGATATTGTAAACCAGATTTATTATTTCTGATACTGCCTTCAATTAAGGCCTAGACTTTCCTTCCACTCCTTATGTTTTGTAATAAAATAACTTTGTAGGCCTTAGGTGGAACTAATTAAAATGCATCCCAAATTATAATTGTTTAAGTCTTAGGGAATTAAAAAACCCAAACCGTGTCTTAATCTCATATGCTAATAAGAAATGGCTCTTCACTTGTGGACCACCAATTTTTAATCTAAGCATTCTGTTACATTGGGAAGGCATTCTCTCCTTATCTGTGATCTTCCTTTCATGATTAATTTGTGAAATAAAGCCATCTGAATTCTGTAAATATTTATTGAGCATCTTCTATATATTTGGCACTGATTTTTAAAAACATTTTAGTTATGTTAAATACACACAACATAGAATTTACCATTTTAATATATGGTTCACTAGTGTTAAGTACAAACACATTGTTGTGCAACCAATCTCTAGATCGCTTTCTTTTTGAAGAATCAAAGCTTGTTATTATTAAATAAGAACTCCCCATTCCTTTTTTTTTTTTTTTCTAGGCAGACACTCTGCCACTTGAAGAATGCCTCTGTTCTTTTTTTTGTTTTAGGTTATTTTTTCTTAGATAGGGCCTAGTGTGTCCTCCCTACCCTGGGCTGGCCTCAGTTCACAATCTTCCCACATATCTGGAACAACTGGTGCACACCATCACACCCCTCTCTCTTGTCAAAATGGATCTTACTAACATTTTGCCCATACTGGCCTGGAACAGCAATCCTCCTGCTCTCCACCTCCCAAGTAGCTACAATTACAGGTACCCAGCCTCAATTCCCTATTCTTCCCCTTCCACCAGACTCCAGCCCTTGGCAGCCCGTTTTACTTTGTCTCTATGAATTTGAGTACTTTAGATACCATATTTATCCTTCTATAACTGACCTACTTCACTTAGCGTGACGTCCTCAAAGTTCATGTTGTTACATGTGGCAGGATTTCCTCCTTCCATGTTATGTGTGCACCACACTCTGTTTATCCATTCATCCACAGATGGACATTTAGGTTTCTTCCACCTCTTGCTAACTGACTCTGAGTGACTTCATGTATATTTATTTTATGGAATCTTTAAGATGTATGGAATTATCATTCCAGTTCTTATATAAGAAGTCTGAGGCCAGTACAATTATGTGGCTGTTCTGAAAGTTCACAGTAAATAATTGTCAGGTCAAAAATCAACCTCATGTTTTCTGATGCTGACTCTACCTGCCTCTACCACTTCACAATAGAACTTAAAGATTGCCACTCCAAAAGGCAAACTAAAATAACAATGCAATACCACTACCTTTCTATGAGAATAGCCAAAGCCTAGAACACTGACAACACCAAATGCTGGCAAGGATGTGAAGTAACAGGAAATCTCATTCATTGCGGTAGAAACACAAAGGGCACAGCCACTGTGGAAGACAGTTGGCAGTTTCTTACAAAACCAAATACATTCTTACAAGAGAACCCACAATTGCACCATTTAATTAAAAGAGCTGAAAAATTTTATCTACATAAAAACCTGCACATGGATGTTTGGTTTATAGCAGATTTATTCGTAACTGCCAAAATCTGGAACTATAGATAACTAAAACCAGGTACATCCAGACAATGAAATACCACTCAGTGCTGAAAAGATGTGTCTATCAAACCATGAAGAGACACAGAAGAACCTTAAATGCATATCATTAATTGAAAGAAGCCAATCCCCAAAATGCCACAATACTGTATCATCCATCTATATGGTAGTCTAGAAAAGGCAGAAAAAAGAAAAAAAAAGACAGTAAAAAGATTGGTGGTTTCAAGGGTTGAGGGAAAGATGAGCAGAGCATAAAGGATTTTGGGGGCAGTGAAAATACTCTATAGGTACTCCAGTAGGGAGATCATATCCTAACACAGTCACAGAATGTGCACCACCAAGAGGCAAGCCGAATGGAGCTGGGGACTTTGAGTAATCGTCATGTGTCGTTGATGCAGGTTCACCACCCGCAGCACATGTGTCACTCTGGTGGGGAGGGGGATAAAGGGGGAGACGATGGTCGTGCAGGGCAGGAATGTGTGGAAATCCTTGTCCCTTCCTCTTTATTTTGCTATGAAACTGAAACTCTTCTGGAAATAATAAAGTAATATAATAATATTAATAATAATAAGGTAATAATAAGGATAGCCACTTCAGCTTAGCTCCATAATATGGTCAGCCAGTGGTACTATGAGATATTCCTAGACTAATAGTACTCTAAAACTTTTCTATAGTATTGCGGTATACTATTTTTAGAAGTTAATACTTTCTATTTCCTACTTTATCAAACTGTAAGATCTGCCAGTTTTAAATTATCTTTACATCAGTATGAGAAATTTGTAGTTTTTATTCAATAAGACCCTGAGTGTTACTAAGTCTTTTATTAGAACCTTTGACAATTACAGTTTTAAAAACATTTTTATTGTGGTTAATACATATAATACGAAATGTGCCATTTTAACCATTGTTAAGTGTACATTCAGCAGCATCAATTACATGGGAAATGTTGTACAAACACCATGTCTATTTCCAAACCTTCTCAACATCCCAAACAGAAACATTATAGCAATTAGCCATTCTCCCTCTCCAGCCCCTGGTAACCTCTAATTATTTTCTAACTCTAGGATAAATATGCTTATTTTTAAGTATTTCATATAAGTGAACTCATATAATATTTGTCTTTGTGTCTGGTTTACTTAATTTAGCATGATATTTCAAGGTTCCTATATGTTTTTAGCATATATCAAAACTTTATTCTTATTCATGGGTGAATAATATTCCATTATATACTATTTTTTTGAACAGCTGACAAATGTTTTTCCACAGCAACTAAACCATTTTACAATCCTGCCAACAATGTATGAGGGTTTCAGTTTCTCCACATTATTGCCAACAAATTTTATTACCATTTTTTATTGGCTGATGATGTTTAGCATCTTTTCATGTGCTAATTGGCCATTCATTTATCTTCTGGGGAAAAATGTTCATTCAAGTCCTTCCTCCAATTTTTTTTGGGGGAGAGGGGGTAGTTGTCGGGGTGGGGCTTTGAACTCATGGCCTCATACCTATTAGGCAGGCAATCTACCACTTAAGCCACCAGCCAGACTCTTCCTCCATTTTTCGATTGGGTTATTTGTCTTTATTGTTGAGTTATAAAATTTCTTTACATACGTGTGTATTAGATCTCTATCAGATAAATGACTTACAAATATTTTCCATTTTGTAGATCGTCTCTAACTTTCTTATACTGAATCACGTTTGTGATTTTTGATGAAATGTCCTCCTCTCCCTCGCCCCTTGTTAAGCTTTACAACCTGGGGCAGCACAGATCGCAGCCCTGACAGCAGAGCCTGAACTCTGGAAGTCCACGCTCCATGCAACCCCACCCTTGTGTTTTGTTTTAGCCAGGCCACAGCCACCCTGGGGGCAAGACCTTTATATAAGGATCTTGGGGACACTCATCTAAACCACAGCAGCTGTAGACACTGTTTTTCCCTCTACATGCATACCCATGATTACGTTTCCTTGATAAATTAGGTACATGAAGAGATTAACCCCTCTGTGGCCTAGCTGAAACCAAACACAGGGGTGGAGTTGCATGGAGAGTGTACATTGCAGTCTGTTCTGGCTGTGCTGGGACCTGTGCTGCCCCAGGTTGTAAAGCTTAACAAAGGGATGGAAGCTGGGGGGCTGGGGCAGCACTGTGGCAGTGAGGCCTGTAGGCCACATCCCCAGCTCTCCCCACAGCCACTCCGCAGAGGTCTGCTCTGGTGGAGATATGAGTGTTCTGGTTCCAGAAGCAATGCTAAATGTTCTGTGTCTGTTGTGACCTGGCCAAGCCGTGGCTACTGTGACAACTGCAAGGCAGCCTTGACACTGCCCCTGGAGCTGATCCTGGAAGAACTTCACAGGGCTTTGCCTGCAGATACAAGACCAGACCTCAATCCCTATGATACACACCAGACCTGAATCCCAGTGGCCATCCATCGGATCTGGTGATGTATGTAGCTATCATTGAACTTCTTGCTGTTCTCTTGTTCTTGTGGAGAACTTTTCAAATCGGTAGAAATCAACGTTATGTGGGAAGAGAAAAAAGCTTGCTCTAGAGTTTCTGGACTAATTGAAGAAAAATGTAAACTACTTGAAAAAGTCAGCCTTATTCCAAAAAGAGCATGAAGGCTCAGAGTCATCTACAAAGAATGGCAACTTTGAGGAGTCAACAGGAACACAAAGTTTAGAGACAACTCATGAGAAGCAAGACAGATCCAGATCTAAAACTTGTGTATGATATACTCTTACTAGAAAAAGAGCTAAAAGAAGAGAAATCTAAACATTCTCAACAAGATGAACTGATGGCGGATATTGCAAAAAGGATACAGTCCTGAGAAGATGAATCAAAGTTCCTCAAATCACAAGTGGCTGAAGCCAAAACAGCCTTCAGAACATTTCAAATCAGTGATGCACAACTTACAGGGGCATAATAGATACTTTGAATGAAAATTCCCTACTTCAGAAAAGTCAGAAAACAGCTTTCACAAGAAGCCAAAGTGTGGAAGGAACAAGTAAAGGAACTTAATAAACAAAATAACATTTGAAAACTCCAAAGTACATGCAAAGCAAGTTCTAAGTGGTAAAGAAAATCACATCAAGTCTCTGACTGAATGCTTGCTAAAGATGAAAGACTGGGCTGCTGACAGTGACCTGGAATTGAAGAGTGAGTTTTGGGAAAAGGTGCTTCCTTAGATAATCAGCCAAAAGGAGCTTTGAAGAAACCGATGTATACTGCTAAGTTAAATGCTGCTTTAAAAATCTTGGAAGAAAAACCAAATTTATGCTCAATTATCTGAAGTAGATAAAACAAAGAAAGACCTTAAAGAGCATATTAAAACCTCCAGACTTAACAAGCATCTTGCAATCAGAAAATACACAGTATGAAAGTGAGAATCAGAAGCTTCAGCTGAAACTTAAAGTAATGACCGAATAGTATCAAGAAAACAAAATGGAACTCCATAGGAAATTAAAAGTAAAGAAAATGGACCGCTAGAGACAGAGGAGAAACTTTCCAAAGTAGATGAAGAGATCAACCATGCAGCCAAAGAGCTAGAGACTTATAGAAAGCAAGCCAAAGATCTTGAAGAAGAACTGAAAAGAACCATTTATTTTTATAAAAGGCAGATTATTTGCTGAGAGAAAAAAGCACACAACAATTGGGTGGCAGCTCAGACAGCTGAAAGAAACCTCAATGATTTAAGGAAAGAAAATGCTCACAACAGACAAAAAGTAGCTAAAATAGAGTCTGAACTTGAACTTTTAAGGAAGGAGCCTTACACACTTGATGTTCCAAATACTGCATTTGGCCAAGAGCATTTCCCATGCAGTCCCTTACCATTGGGTCAACTTCTCTGAAATGAGAGCTTTTCTCTCTCCTCCAGCATGGTCGGAGGATCCACTCAATGAAAGAGAAGAGTCAATTAGATCAAGGGCAAACACAACAAGGGGATTGGACTTTTGAGCACATGATAAAAGCGAGAGCACACAAGGAGGGGTGAGGATAGTAAGACACCTAAAAAATTAGCTAGCATTTGTTGCCCTTAACGCAGAGAAACTAAAGCAGATACCTTAAAAGCAACTGAGGCCAATAGGAAAAGGGGACCAGGAACTAGAGAAAAGGGTAGATCAAAAAGAATTAACCTAGAAGGTAACATACATGCACAGGAAATTTTTTTTCTTTTTTTTTATTTTATTATTCATATGTGCATACAAGCATGGGTCATTTCTCCCCCCTGCCCCTACCCCCTCCCTTACCACCCACTCCGCACCCTCCCTCTCACCCCCACCCCCTCAATACCCAGCAGAAACTATTTTGCCCTTATTTCTAATTTTGTTGTAGAGAGAGTATAAGCAATAATAGAAAGGAACAAGGGGTTTTGCTGGTTGAGACAAGGATAGTTATACAGGGAGTTGACTCACATTAATTTCCTGTGTGTGTGTGTTACCTTCTAGGTAACACATGAAAAAATGCTCACCATCTCTAGCAATTAAGGAAATGCAAATTAAAACCACACTAAGATTCCACCTCACCCTTGTTAGAATAGCCATCATTAGCAACACCACCAACAGGTGTTGGCGAGGATGCGGGGAAAAAGGAACCCTCTTACACTGTTGGTGGGAATGTAAACTAGTACAACCACTCTGGAAAAAAATTTGGAGGCTACTTAAAAAGCTAAACATTGATCTACCATTTGATCCAGCAATACCACTCTTGGGGATATACCCAAAAGACTGTGACACAGGTTACTCCAGAGGCACCTGCACACCCATGTTTATTGTGGCACTATTCACAATAGCCAAGTTATGGAAACAGCCAAGATGCCCCACCACTGACGAATGGATTAAGAAAATGTGGTATCTATACACAATGGAATTTTATGCAGCCATGAAGAAGAACGAAATGTTATCATTTGCTGGTAAATGGATGGAATTGGAGAACACCATTCTGAGTGAGGTTAGCCTGGCCCAAAAAATCATATGTTCTCCCTCATATGTGGACATTAGATCAAGGGCAAACACAACAAGGGGATTGGACTTTGAGCACATGATAAAAGCGAGAGCACACAAGGGAGGGGTGAGGATAGGTAAGACACCTAAAAAATTAGCTAGCATTTGTTGCCCTTAACGCAGAGAAACTAAAGCAGATACCTTAAAAGCAACTGAGGCCAATAGGAAAAGGGGACCAGGAACTAGAGAAAAGGGTAGATCAAAAAGAATTAACCTAGAAGGTAACACACACGCACAGGAAATTAATGTGAGTCAACTCCCTGTATAGCTATCCTTATCTCAACCAGCAAAAACCCTTGTTCCTTCTATTATTGCTTATACTCTCTCTACAACAAAATTAGAAATAAGGGCAAAATAGTTTCTGCTGGGTATTGAGGGGTGGGGGAGAGGGAGGGTGCGGAGTGGGTGGTAAGGGAGGGGGTGGGGGCAGGGGGAGAAATGACCCAGCTTGTATGCACATATGAAATAATAAAAGAAAAAAAAAAAGAAAAAATTTCCTGTGCATGTGTGTTACCTTCTAGGTTGTTATCCTAAGAACAATGGGAAACCCCTGAAGGGTTTTAAACAAGGGGGACAAAACCATGACCATATTTTGAAAAGCATCACTCTAGCTGCTGTGCCAAGGCTATGTTAGAGGAGGGCGAGGATCAGGAAGGTGAAAGCAGTTTGGTAGCCGTTGTGGAAGTACAGGCAAAAGATTAGGAGCTTGAGCTAAGATGGTGGTGGCAGAGGCCAGCCATAGGGCATGGGAATAGGAAGAAGAGGGGTACTCTATAGAAATGGTAGGGTTGAATGGGAGGGCAGAACTGCCTCCTAGGTTTCAGATTTAGATAAATGCGCTCTGATCATGCATTCAATGTCAGTAGGAACACTTAGGAAAAGACCAGATTTAGAAGAAATATCATAAATTCCATTTCCAAATATTGAACTAGAGATAATTTTAAGACAATACAGGACCTCCTTATTTCACAATTTTGACAGAGATGCATTAAACTGGATCACATTTTACAAATTAGTAAACAATTTAAAATTAAGGATGCTGTTCTTTATCTTGCTGTTTTGCTTTAATTATTAATGACACCCTTTCAAAGAGTGTTAGTAAATATATTATATTTTTAGAAACAATGAAGTAGTGTAACAGGAGGCCACACTTCCACTGTCAAGCTAGTAAATATTGGTTGAAGGAAATGTAGGGAAGTGAGAGGAAGTGGTTTTTTCTGGACAGATTTATTCAGCTAACTGAGCCAATGAGGTTCGTTGGTATTTATGAATGGTTCATTAGTGTAATTATCTGAACACAAGGTGAACTCGAATTAAATGATAAGACTTTCTAATAATTAGTATGTGCCACTCTTTGGAATTTGTAATTAGAAGAGGCAAAATGAAAAGAAGCAGATAAAAGGATAGTTGTTATAAAATTAAACTCCTTTAAAGCCAATTTAGTTTCTTTGTGAGCAAACAAGGAGAAGAGGACCAGAAGAATTGAAAATGCATATCCTCTCAGTTGGTAACTCAACTTCAGGGCTAGATCAAGTTTTCTTCTGGTTTTTATCCTAAAAGCAGAGGAAAATCCCTGAAGGGTTTAAACTAAAGAATGACATAATTAGGACTGAGTTTTGAAAAGAATTACCTTGACACTATTCATATTTTTGACTGGATAATCTTTAACCTGACCTGTGCACTGTAGAATGCTTATATGCTAACACCAAAAAAAGCAATCATTCCATCAGTTGTAACAATCAAAACTGTCTTTACATTGTCAAAATATCCCCTCAGGGCAAAATGGCCTGTTTGAGAACCATTGAGCTAAATCTAGAATACCTGAGAAAGTCATTTTGAAACCAAATGCAATGAGTTCACATCTTGGTGAGTGCAAAATCAAAAGGCACCATCAGAAGATAAACAGTGGACAAAGATTTATTACCTGCAGAGTTAAGGAGAGCACTGTGGCTATTTCCAAAGCGATGCTCTCCCCAGAGAACGAAATTGTGGGAATTCTAGCGGGGAGCCTGTACATAGTCATATAGAAAAGCACTTCTAGGGAGGCACATTCCTGAGCATGCTCAGTTTAAGACATACATTTCTAAGCATGTTCACTTTAAGGTCATTGAAAGGAATGTTTCCTTTCTATGGACACATTTCTGGGCATGCTCAGCTCATGGTTATACAGCACATGTTGAAAAGGTTAAGATGGCAGACGTGAACACCTCTGGGCATGCTCAGTTCAGTTTTATGAGCCCGTTTTACTCAAGGTGCTCAAAAGAATGACTTCGGGTATCTTGAAGGCCTTGGTAATCTTAGCTGCCTTTAATTTTCTCCAAAAAAGTTTTAGCTGAAACAAAAGGAAATGACACTTTGAAGGTACTTTAATATAGGAATTTGTACCTTAAGGTGCCTGCCTCCCTTAGCAGCTAACAATTTCACAACCATTAGGGTGTATTGTATTTTATTTTGTTCCATAAATGTTTATTAGGGGCCTTCTCCGGGGTGATGTTCAAAGAGGAGATCTCTCTGCTTTTGAGGAGAAGGGAAGGGGTAGAGAACTGACAAATTTAGAAATTAAAGAATGATGGGAAAGTACATCATTCCAAAGTAAGATCAAGAAGGATATTCTCTCAAGTGTGAGTTTCTACCATAACCTGGAATTATTCTGTAACTGGGATTTTCTCCATAGCAAAGTCTTAGAATCTGACTTATCAATGAGTAGGGTTGGCTGTGTTCATTGATGAGTAAATTGGGCATGCAAGAAGAATCCTCAGCAAACTCCAAATGGAATATCCTTTGCACAAAGTCTCTGACGTCTCTGGAACTTTGCCTGATCGGTTATAGCCTTTCTCTTCTATCTTTTCCCTCTTGCCTAACTCCATATGATCCTTCCAACTTGTTTAAATTTCATCCAGCTTTGAGGTTGGAGTGGGGCTTATTTTCAACCAGACTACTCTTGCTAGTATGTATCATTCTATTTCTCATCCCATCCCCTAATAAAGACAGGAGCCTCTAATGAGTAACAATCAACTCTTACAAATCCCACAGCCTTTCCCTTTGTGTTCCATTCAGCATTGGTGGCCGGCCGCCTTCCCCTTCTTCCCAGGATTCCTTAGTCCTGCCCTTGCCTCTCCCCCATTGCGCTCTTTTTTTTTTTTTTTCTTTTCTGACTCTTTCTGATGCACTTACTGACCAAATGGCTGACTGAGTATTTAGTGAATTAATACCTGATGTGGTTTGTTGTCCCAGTATTCTCTCACTTAAACGGAGGAATTGTGTGCTTGTAAAGAAATTTGAGCTAAGCTCTTCATGTCCCTCTAACATTTGTTTTTTAGACTAAATGTGCCCTGTAAACTTTGCAAGCAGACTGCCTCCTTTTCAGGAAGAGTGCTCTTTTCCACTGAGCAGAAGACAAAACACATCCCTGCTTCCATTCTGCCTGATGTGATGGCAAGCAAGTCATCAGTTTGCCCCCAAGGCTGCAAGTCTTCATGTCACTTTAATGCTTTTGGAGCACTGAAAGAAAAATGAGTTCTTTTTACACAAGAAAATGAAAATTTTTCAAGGCCGATCTGTATCTTTGGGAAATTTTCAGTTCGTTTAGAAAAATACAGAAAAGAACAATTTTGGTGTTTTGGTTTTTTTTATAGTGCTTTTTGATGAGGAACCCCAAAGACCAAGCAAGCTGAAGAACTGGACAGGTGCTCAAGATTTCTGCATTGAAAAGGGGGGACACTGGTCACCATTGAAAATGAGGTGGAGCAAGGTAGAGTAAAACCAGGCCAAAAGAGACAGTTTTTTTGAAGTATTAATTAAAATATCCTCCAAAATACTGGCATTTCCAAATAAACATTTACCATATTGTCTAATGACACCTACCCTTACAGTCTGACAGATATAGTTATATGTCATGACATCTATGAAAAGTCAGTACACTGCATTGCTTATAAACTGCTGAGTTTGGGAGGCTGTGATTTCACCAGTAGCAGAAGAAAGAATTAGAACTTCTTCATGATCTCTGTCTCAAAATAGCTAAAATAATCTCAAGGATAGTCCACCACAATTGTATTGTATTATTTTCTTATATCTCCTTATGTTTATCTATACACTTTTATTTGATAATTAGGCAATTATATACTTTAGTTTGAACATAGTAGATAAATCCTCTTTTGTAAGGGCTGACAATGCTGCTTATGGCTCACCTAAAGGTACTTGCTTAGCATGTGCAAGGGCCTATGTTTGACCCTCAGCACAGCCAAAATCAAGGAACAAAACAAATTCTCTTTTATTTGTGGAAGTCATTGAATGAACACTGGAAATTGTTTTGTTAATAAATTGATGAAATTTCAGTTTATCTACCTAATGTCTGTCAATTAAAACTGAAATAAGAATGAAGGAAACCGCATTACTTTAAAAAGAAAAAGCAACAAATTTCTACAACTGATTCATAGTTAAGTTTTGCTATCATTTAAATATAATCATGGCTATAAACAGAATTTAATGATTACCTAAATGGTTTATATGGTATTAACTTGGATAATGTATTCTTATTTTTCAGCTTTTATTACTATGAATCTTTTTGGCCAAACCACTAATGTGTGGATAGGGTTACAAAATAATAATTATGAAAAATGGCTAAATGGAAAACCTGTGCTGTATTCTAACTGGTCTCCTTTTGATAGAATAAATGTAAGTTTAAGACTTAATTTATAGAAATCATTTTAGCAAAATACCTATTCAACACTTGTTTATGAAAGCTTTATTCTTCCCTTTATTTTGTAGGTATAAATTTATATTGCTTCATTATTAGTATATTAATTTTTAATAATGTAATTTCATATAATTTTCATGTATTCCATAAATGTAATTACTTTACTCATCACACTGTTTATTTTGAAGGTTATGAAGTGATTTGTTAGTGGATTTTTTAAATGCAAAGAAGGGAATAATGATGTTTTAATTTAAAAACTTATGTTCTAAATAAAATTTCCAGTGTTACAATTATGTTATATTTACCATATTTTTATAATATATGCATTCTTTTAAAGATTCCAAGTCATAACATTCCTCTCTGCGCCCCTGAAGTTCAAAATCACATTCCTCTCTGCGCCCTGCTGTCAAGCCATCCTAATTTTCACTTCACCGGAAAATGGTATTTTGACGACTGTGAAAAAGAAAGTTATGGGTTTGTTTGTGAAAAAATGCAGGGTAAGAAATATTTGGGGGTTTGTTCCTCTCATTTCCTTGTCTTCCATATTTGTTTTATGCAGTTATACAGCAAATGGTTTCACAGCTTACCAGTATGAGGCACCTATTCTCTGTTCTTCAATATATGTAATCACATTAATCTCCCACTTCCCCAGTACTATGCCTTTTAGTTGTGTTCTAAGGACTGCAGAGGCACTTGACTGAAGACCAAGTTTATGCATCCACTTTGGTCCTTTAAATAGCTTTACTGTTTTGTTCTAGGATCATATGTCTGTATTTCATTTTTCCAACAGTATAATGAAATACTATTAATGAAGTTAGTAGGCTAATGGATAAAGAAAAACACTTCATTTTCACTCATGGTCCTGGTCTAAAGTCAAGGACCCTCACGTGATGATGGCTTTCTTCCTGGAGACTGTCATGGTGACACAGGGCCTCAACACGGTAAGAAACAGAAAACACATATGTGTGTCTGGTCTGTTTCTTCTTATGAAGCCAACCACTATTCGATCCCTCTTAATACATCATAAATGGGATTCAATTCACACACAACCCTTTGGGGAATACATTCGGACTAGATCTAAAACCATAGCAGAATCTATTGAAAGCAATTTTTTAAAAAAATCACTCAGAAAACATTTAGAAAAGAATCAGAGAAATAAACCAAACTATATTTACTCCTTCTTGGAACCCAAACACTATGGCTAAATATGACATGTATTATGTTTCTAGATCTGATGGGTAATACCCCCAAAAAAAGATTTCTGGTATAAAATGCCAAAGCCTACGTGATAATCAGATTTCCATTACTGAAGCAAAATACCTGAAATAGTCAACTTATAAAGAGAGGTTTATCTTGACTCACAGTTTTGGAGACTTCAATCCATGATCGATTGGTCCCATTGCCTTGGTCTGTGCAAAGCAGCAATCATTGTAAGAACATGGAGTAGACAGAGCCATTCACCTTATGGTCAAGAAACAAAAAGAAAGAAGAAGAAGGATTGTGCAGGTTCCAAAGTCTCCTTCAAAGCATGGCCTTAATGACTTAAAGACCTCCAATAGCACCATTCTAAGGACCAAGCCTTTAACACATGAGCTTTTGGGGACATTCAGGATCCTAATTATAAGACCATACTATCACAAATATAAATGGGGTCAATGAGCTGTGTCAATGCCCTGCGAGTGACCTAAGTATAAAAATAAAAATAACAACAGCTTTGCTTTCACTGAGTGCTGGGTAATCCTATACCACACCACCCTAGAAGATTGTAGTTGTGGTCTGGGGCAGAGTAGAACTCTGGGCAGCCTGGCATATGTTGCTTACTTGGAATATAACACACTTCTTAGGTTGCATACTTTGAGCTCTTTCATGATACTATCAACCTATCCTCATAAACTCTGTTTCAGGGAAGCTCTGTTCTGGTTCTCAGTTTAGCACTTAATCATAATGATCAGGAGCTTAAGAGAAAGATATTGGATCTATAATAGTAAGAGTAATATGGGAAGGCACGAGCCTTGCAGGAAAAAGTATCAGTATGCCATGTACTTTCACAATTATGATATGCCCTGGAGTGCTTCCTTGAGCTAATGAGCAGTATGCTATAAAAATCTTCAAGTAATTCTATGAAATAGGCCAAAGTTTCCCCATTTTATAAGCTTAAAACTTGAGGCTCAGAAAAAAATAAGTAACACAGGAGGGTTCCTCAGATTAAATACTGTTTATTATACCACTATAGTATTAACCTCTTCTTGAATTTTACTCTTGATCATTTTTCTATCATGACATTTTTGAGGACTAATAACAGCAGAGATAGATAGAGTAGTTGGTAGTTGAGAGCATAAGCCTTGGAGACCCATTCCCACATGGCTTTCCACTTCACCTCTGCAAATAAGTTTCAGTCAAACTATTTATCTTCTATAAGTTTCAGTCAACTATTTATCTTCTATGATACTTGATTTCAACAACTGTAAAATAAGGCAATAACTATTTCACATACTCTATGCATACACAATGCTTTGCATAACTCCTAGCATATACTTAATAAATGTTTTTAAATGTTTTAAAATTATTTTTTAAATTATTTAAAAATTTTTTAAATAATAAAACTTTAAAAATTATTATTTCAGAAAATTTTATTTTAGCCCATTACTGTAGATTACAGTAATACCCAAGATTGCCCTTTTTTTGTATGTGCCATATAAATATGGGCTTAAATTGAGCTTGAGCCTAAAGTCATTAATCTGCCTGAAAGAATAAAGAATTATAAGCCAGGTGCCAGTGGCTCATACATGGAATCCTAGCTACTCAGGAGGTAGAGATCAGGAGAATTAGGGGTAGAAGCCAGCCCCAGACAAATAGTTTGAGAGACCTTATTTCAGAAAAAACCTATCACAAAAAAGGGCTGGTGAAGTGGTTCAAGTGGTACAGTGCTTGCCTCACAAGTATAGGCCCTGAGGTCAAACCTCAGTGCCACCAAAAAATTTTTAAAAAGAATAAAGAAATATGAATAAAAAGAAAGACTAAGGCAAATTTTAAACTTGGCTTACAACAGATCTTTTCAGTGGAAATCACTTATGTTTTGAATCTTGACGGAATCAAATTATATAGGGAGAAGTTCATATGTTTAAAAATACAAATGTATAACTCAGCCAAATTTATATTTGGGTCATATGCGCAAAGAATTTCAGCTACTTTAATTTTACTAATTGTTGTCATTTTTAAATAGCTACTTTGATATCATGCTGGATTTGTATAAATAACCATAGATTAGGGACATAGGCTGGCAAGCAGACTTCTAGCAAAGAACAAACTGATAATAAAAGTGCAGTCTATCATGTTAGCTAGTAAAGAGATTAATTTCATTTTTGTTCTATAATCTGTGCTTGCTATATTGAGGTAACTTATTCAGGTAAAAGTCAACTTCCCATTTTGCCATTTTTATTGAGAGGTAGCATGACCAGATGGGGAGAGGTAGCAAGAAAACACATTTATTGAGTATGTGCTGTGTTCCACATTGGTATGTGGCCTATGTGGATATTGCAATGAATTCTACCCACACTCCTCTGAGAGAGACCTTTATCAACTTGTAGATCGGAAAAGTGAGTTTAGGGAAATTAATTTGCCCCAGGTCTTTTAGCCAGTTGGAGCAAGTACCAAGTCTTCTAACATACCTACATCTCTCAATACTCCTTTCTCAAATTCAAGTCATTTTAGGTCCTTTTTGTCATTTGTTTTCATGTTTTAGTTTTTTCTAAACCTAAGCTAATTCAGGACAAAAGGGCCAATGCATTATTACAGAGGAAATATCTGAAGGTCAGATATCTGTAGGGTTGCTTTTCACATGATCATTGCTACTCATGAACAGGCAATCACTGATGATCACATGTCAAAAACTCTTGCCTTTTAATTTATAAATTTTGACTCTGACACATTATATATTAATAGTAACTGTTTAGAGAAACTATGTACATCTAGCATTTATTAACTTGAGTTTTTAAAATTATTTTAGAATTAAACCTTAAAATGATATAGTAACTATCATAAAGTCTCAAAAGTGTTGAATAAAGATATTTATCTGAGAATACACACTTCTAAATTAGGTTTTCAATGAAATCTATGACTATATAATATATATTAACATTTTATTTATTTTTTTCATTTTTTTTCATTTTTTCTTTTATTATTCATATGCGCATACAAGCTTGTTCATTTCTCCCCCCTGCCCCCACCCCCTCCCTTACCACCCACTCCACCCCTCCCGCTCCCCCCTCAATACCCAGCAGAAACTATTTTGCCCTTATCTCTAATTTTGTTGTAGAGAGAGTATAAGCAATAATAGGAAGGAACAAGGGGTTTTTCTGGTTGAGATAAGGATAGCTATACAGGGCATTGACTCACATTGATTCCTGTGCGTGGGTTACCTTCTAGGTTAATTCTTCACCAGAGCAAGGTGTTAGGCAGAGTATAGGTGGGAACCTTGCCTAAGACAATTACCAGCAACTCTATCAAAAAGTGGTCACTCTCAAAGGATAATGAAAAATGGTAAATCTGTAGAAAGGACTTAACACATTTTAATGTTTTCAAAGAAACCTATTTGTTAAATTTCTTAAGTATCTAATTCTTTAGCATTGCATACACTTACAGGTAATATCCTCATTTTGAAATAGTCAATTCTAGAAGAAAAAAACCATGATCAACATGGATCATAGTGAAGGAATCCATGGTAAGTTTTGTCTACTCCTTTCTCATCCAGATACTACAAATGACTTTGTTGTTGTTCTTGTTCTAGATACTTCTGGACACCATGTAAATACATCAGATATGTATCCAGTCCCCAATACCTTGGAATATGGAAACAGAACTTACAAAATAATTAATGCAAATAATGACTTGGTATGCAGCAATAAAAGCATGTCTGATGCATGGAGCAGAACTGGTCAGCATTACAGATCAGTATCACCAGTCCTTCCTCACTGTAATCCTCAACCGACTAGGACATGCACATTGGATTGGACTGTTCACCACAGATGTAGGTCCTTAGTCCCTTGGAATGTTCTTTGCATAATTTTCATATCTACCTCTTTAGTGATTATAGCCACTGAAATGAGCATAGAAAAACCATGTTCCAGAAATAACCATAAATGTAACACTTACATAATTTGGATATACAAAAACTACTGACCAAACTATGAGCAGCCTATGACTGCAAAACATGCTATATATCTTTTAGGATAAACAATCACTTGTCTAATCTCTGGACATATGGCCTCAAGGATTCTCTGAGAATTTCTAAGCATCTCTGAATCCTGCCTCACATACTCAGTACATTTTTTTTTTTTTTGGTGGGACCTGGGTTTGAATTCAGGGCTTCACATTTGCAAAGCTGGTACTGTCTACCACTTGAGCCACACCTCCCATCCAATGGAACACATCTTAAAATCAAGCATTGCACAAAATGGTTGCATTTAAGAAGCTTATTATTAATTAATTTAGTGCCCTTTGAAATTAGACATGTGGGTTTTTTATTTTTTGTTTTTCTCTAGGAATGTGATTTCAAGAATAAGGTATTTTGTCTTATTTTCTGTGTTTTTTTTTAAATATGAGCATTATATGCTCAGAATAGTGAAAGATAACTATTCCATCCTGACCCTTAGTTCTACACCTCTGTTATTATAAGCAGTTTCTTGTGTGATGTCCAGAAAATTTCTATGTATACACATGTATGCATGATGAATACGAATATTGTTTCTAAGTACAAATGAGAAGGGCTGGTGGAGTTGTGGAGTGGCTCAAGTGGTAGAGCACCTTTCTAGCAAGCATGAGGACCTGATTTCAAACTCCAGTACCACCAGAAAAAAAAATACAAATGAGAACATGTTATGTGTGCTGTCCTTAAACTTGCTTTTTTGTTTAATATATCTTTTTTTTACAACTTCCCAAGTAAGCACATAAAAATGTCATGCATTTTTTTAAATAGAAGCATGTAAGGATATACTACAATTTATTGAACCATTCTCCTGTAAGTGGACATGTATGTGGGCTGTTCTCAGTTTTTCACAATTACAAACAATGCACAACAAATAACCTTGTGCAAATCAAAGTGAGATTGCTGAGCACACTTCACATTTTAACAAGTACTGCCAAATTGCCCTCCAACAGTTTGCACCATTTACATAGCACATGACAGCATCTAGTTTTTTTTTTTCTCACATCCTTAGTAACAATGAGTTATCAACAAAATTTCAATTTTTTTGCCAGTGGGATAGATGAAAGAATGACATTTTATGATTTTCTATTGCACATTTGTTATGGAGTGCGTTTTTTTTTTATTCATATGTGAATACAATGTTTGGGTCATTTCTCCCTGGAGTGTTTTAACTTTATGTAGTTAATTTTGCTTTATGGTTTCTGGGTTTTTCATGACTTGAAAAGATTTTCCTCATACCAAAAGTAGTAAAAAAAAAAAAAAATGCAGCTAAGTGTTCCCTAACACTTTTGTTTTCAATTTTATGTTTGAATCTTTGATCAATCTGGAATTTATTTTGTGTAAACAACAAGGTATTGATCCTACTTCCCTCTAATTACTTACTGGAAAATTATGAGATCAAGAACCCAAGGATTCCTAAAACCAAAAAAAGATATCATTTATTGTAGATATCTCTTTTTTGTCAGGACACATTCACAAGCTGTAGTAAACCTTTGAAAATGAGTATGGAATAGAAAGCATTGGGGAGTGTGAGACACTTAGATAGCATTGGATGGTGCCACCAGCAATCTTGGCAAGGAAATAATGGCTGAATTTCCCTCCACAGAATGGTCTTGATTTTGACTGGTCTGATGGCACCAAATCCACTTTCACTTTTTGGAAAGATGAGGAGCCATCCTTCCTTGGTGGCTGTGGTTTTGCTGACACTAATGGACGTTGGCATACAACAGCCTGTGAGTCATTTCTGCAAGGTGCTATTTGTTATGTACCCACTGGTAGGTACATTACTATTCAACTAAAGAAATATGTGCTGTGTTCCTCAAATATAAAAGGCTGTTCCAAGCAGGGATTATGAGTACAAGTAGTAAGAAGTCTCACCCTCAAGAAGCCTCTGTGTGGTCAGTGATGGCCTGTTATACCAGGCCTGGCTACCAAGTGAGAAAAGAGAGGTATCAAGTGATGTGGGTGTTATCAAGAAAACAAATGCATCCTACACATATTTAGGGTAAGGTAGAAAGTCTTCTTGAAGGACAAGACAGTGAAGATGGGCCTTGAAGAATGGGTTGGATGTAAAAGGGCAATAATAGACATAAAGAAGCATTCTGAGAAAAGCTTGAACAGACACAGAGCAATCACAGGACTGGGCATGTGGAAGGCAAAGATGTGTGTTGAGATTTGCCTGTGTCAGGTAGGGGGAAGAGAGAAGTGGAAAGTGAGACTAGAAATGTGTTTGGAGCATGTGGGGAGGACCTTGACTGAGAACTTGTGTTCAAGACGAAGATTAGAAGGATTCTAGAGCCATGATAATGGTGGTGGTGGTGACATTGCTTGGATATTTGTTATATGCCTGGACCTACATTTTTCATAATATCCCTTTTACACAAAGTTCACCTGGCCCAACTCTGTATTAAAAATGAAACAACTCAGAGCATTGTACAGGAGGATCTCAGCAGTCCATCAACAGTAACAGAAGCAGAAGCCAAGTTTCCTCACTCTCTGATGTGATGTTTATCCCATTTTACCAGGTCCCCTCTCCCTTTCTTGCTGTAATGTGCTTAAAGAGAATCTCCTATCACTAGCTGGTCTCCTTTTAGGTTTCTCATTTGATAAGAGCGCATTATTTAGCTATATTCTGGGTACTCTATCAAATAGCATACACATTATGTAATTCTAAATGAAGAAATTCAGGACTAAATTTAAGTGATATCCGTATAAATAACATATGTTTTTCATATATATATATGAAAATTTAATTTTGTTTCTAAAGCACCATAAAAGCTGTCCTTCCTTTTTTGATAGCAATATATTCATTGGGTGCTTAAGAAGTGTCAGGCACTAACACGTTTAAACTTCTCAAGTTGTAAAACAAGAAAATACCGTTAGCTCCTTTTTATAGATAAGGAAATCAAAGGACAGGATGATGTGCCCAAGGCCAGACAGCTAATAAATAGCAGAGCCAGGACCTCCGCATGGATGTGTATGACTCTCACGTTACTCTCTGAAGTCAAGTTGTTATGCTATGTTGTGATACTTTACTGAATGCATTTTGTTCTCTCAGGTTTATTAGTAAGGACTTTTTAAAATCTGTGATTCTTAGCACTGCATGGGACATATTTTGTACATTTGGAAATCTCTTTTCCAGCACCATTCTTTCTAGAAATCACCTCCTCCAGATGTTTCAGCCTTTAGGATACCAGTCATAAACATGAAAGACAGCCACCTTTATCTAACCAGCACTCAAAACTAAGCCTACAAAGTTGTGTATTAACATGCCCTGTTGTGTTTCGGTGAAGATTATTCCTGCCAGAAATGCTAGAACTAGCTCCAGTTTGTAATCATTTACCTTACATCTCTTCTTTCAGACTGAATTGCCATGAAAATCTTATTACACATGTTTATTTTGGTATTTCATAGAACATAATGTAACATTTATGTCAACATAAATGAACCAAGTCTCCATCCTGAAATCATATAGCTGGTTTTTCTTCATAGAAACAAAGCCATCTGAACACCCAGTGTTGTGCTCAGAAACATCTATTCCCTGGATAAAATTTAAAAGTAATTGCTACAGTTTTTCTACAGTCCTAGACAGAACAAGTTTTGAGGCTGCTCATGAATTTGCAAAAAGGAAGGTAATTCTTTTGTAATGGTAAAACGCTTTCATGTGTTTCTTCTTGACATCTCAGTTAACAATGTGGTTTTCCTCACTTGCTGATTATTTAGTGACTTTAAGAGCAACAAAAACTATTGAAAAAATACTATCAAATATGCTTATTAGGAGGGCAGCTAATATATGCAATTCAATGTCCAGTGTAGAATTTGAAAACCCAAGATGATGTCTCATCATACTATACTTTCCCAAGAAAATGGTCCTTTTGAATGCATTTGCATTATGAATTTTTTAATGGTCTCTAAAATTAATATTCTGTTTTAACTTCTTAAGTATAAGCTTGTATCTTTTAATAAATGTGGTTTTCCTTTAAAAGTTGTAACCAAAACCACTTATTAATAATGGAAATTTGATGGAACTCCCTGTATAGCTATCTTAGACAAACAAAAATGTCTTTTTTCAAAAACAGAGAACAGGAAGGTAAAACAGTTCTTATCTGGGGTTGGTACCAGTGGGAGGGTAGGATATAAGGAAAGGGTATAGGAAATACTATGTACTTATTATGTATGAAAGTGGAAAAATGAGACATGTTGAAACTATTCCAGGAATGGGGATAGGGAGAGGACAAAGAAAAATGATAGAAGAGGGTAAATTCAACTATGATTTGTTGTAAACACTTTTGTAAATGTCACAATGTACCCCCAGTACAACAATAATATGATAATAAAAAAGTGGAAATTTGGGGCTGGGGTTGTAGATCAGTGGTAGAGCACTTGCCTAGCACATGTAAGGCCTTGAGTTTAACCCTCAGCACCTTTAAAAAAAAAAGTACCAAATAATGGAAATTTTTAGTTTTCAAAGCCTGGCCTTTACTAGTAATGATATAGGAAACATTTTTTAAATTATACTTATGTGTAAACACAAATAGTTGCTCATTTGCTATTTGTCTCTTTTACAGGATCTAACCTTTTAGCAATCAAGGATGAGGCTGAAAATTCATTTCTCCTGAAAGAGCTCTTTGCTTTTGGTTCTTCTGTCCAGATGGTTTGGCTGAATGCTCAATTTGATAGTAACAGTAAGTGATTTGGGAAGAGAAGAGGCAAGGACATAAATAAATACACAGTTGTTAAGGCTAATGATAATGGATCTATGAGCCAGAAAACTCTCATTGGACACATTTGCTGTCAAAAATAACATGAATTCTAAAGCTCCCCCCCCATACAACATTGTTACCCTTTTCTATCCCTCTTATCCTTTGAAATAATCCCAGAAACAAAAAACAATAAACCAAGAAACAAAAACAAACAAGAAGTTTACCTTTATATCTACTGTGAAGATGCTTGGCTGGATCTCTGTGTTCACAGACTTCCTTGTAGCATACCAAATCCATATCAACTTGAAAGACCCCATGTTCTGAAATGTTATAAAAGCCCAGCAGAGTTATGGAAATGCTTCAATAAGCAATCGTGCTATTAGAATTCTTATTGCTACTGATTAAAAATAAAAGAGTCTTTAGCAAAGTGGAAGCATGGTATTCTTTTCTTTACATAATTGATGGTTATTGAAAGGTACTTGTAAAGAAATTTATTTTAATTGGCATGGAGAGCTTGTTACAGTAGTGTACCAAGGAGGGTGGCAAGAAATATTTTAACCACTAATGTTGTTTAGAATTTCTAGCAAATGGTGACAATAAAAAGCAGACTGACTTTTAGCTACTTTTATTGTTAGTTTTAAATTATTTTCAGACAGCACACACCAGAAAACATACCTTATTGCAATAACTTTCCCACTACTCCTTCTCCCTTGGAATATAAATGGCTTGCTACTTAAAGAAACTCACTCTTTTAGAAAGTGAGCATTTTGTAATGACATAGACTTCAAAGAATTTTTCTTTACGATGATTAGTTTCATTTCAGTAAATGATTCTTTAAATTGGTTAGAAATTATATGGAATATTTCAAAATTCAAACTTGTATTTGCAAACAGGATATCCTAAATGAACTAAATAAGAACACGATAGCTAAAATAAATAGAGGTTGTTCACAAGGTGACTTCATTAATACCTACCTCGTGATGTTGAGTTCATGTCTGTACTTACGGAATTGAATGCTCAGAGAAGGAGAGTCCTGTAGGGAGTGCTCTTTTGTGACTCATTGTAGTCTTATGTGTTTGATAAGCATGCACATAATTCATGAGTCAGTGATTTTTCCACAGATGAAACCATAACGTGGTTTGATGGAACACCCATAGACCAGCCAAACTGGGGTATTCGGAAGCCAGACATGGACCACCTCAATTCCCATCAGTGTGTTGGCCTGAAGATTCCCGAAGGAGTATGGCAGTTATCCTCATGTCAAGAAAAAAAGGGATTTATATGTAAAATGGAGTCAGGTGGGTAAAGCCAGAAAGTAATTCTTCATTTTGATTCTATCCTGATTACCACTGACCCACTTACCACTTAAGACCTTTTAAGCATTTAAAGGTCTTAAAAATCCAGGTATTTGGAGACTATTCAGATAGATTCTGGTAGTAGATTATTATCTTATTCTGTATCAAACAAGTCAGAGAACATTTCAGTTCTTTCTTTCTCTGATATGAAGGAAAAAATCATTATAAACCAACTTCAAGACTCTATGACCTTTTGCCTGCCATCCTGGCTTGAAACTAACAGGTAAAAAGCAGTTTACCCCAAGCAATAGAATGTCAACTAGCAATCTTCATTTCTGGTGCTGCTATTCATGTGTTTGTGAGCTAATGATAATGATCACCAAACTTTTCTTGTGGCGGGCCAGATAGTAAATATTTTAGCCTTTCAGGGTCATATGGTCCCTGTCACCCTGGCTTTGCCTCGTGAAAACTGTCATAGACAACACATGAATGAGTAAATACAGGTGAGCTCTACTATAACATTATTTATAAAACCAGATGGCCAAATTTGATCCACAGGCCATACTTTGCAGATCCTTGCTATAAGTAATGACATAACTTTGCTGAATTAAGAGAAATAATTCATTTCAAATATGTTTTTGTATTTGATTTTAGATAGTCACACTGCAAAGGAGCACCCAGGAAAAGGTAGGTTTGGAACAGTAGAAAACATTTTGATTTTTCTTAGAAATAATAAAATAGAAAGTAACTTCATTGTCACTGAACTTTTCCCTTTTTCATCTTCTTTTAGGACCAAGTCACAGCACTGCTCCTCTTGCAGTCACATTGACATTGGTAGTAATTCTGGCAATTCTCACACTTTCCTTCTGCATGTACAAGCAGAATCCTGGCTTCTTCCGGAGACTTGAAGGGTTTCGGAATCCTTACTATCCAACAACCAACTTTAGTACAGTACATTTAGAAGAACATATTCTCATTTCTGGTCTTGAGAAGAATAACCAATAAGGAAGCCAGAGAATGCCCAGCCATAAAGGTGAATAAGAGGAGTCCTATCTGTGTTCCCCTTCAGACAGATGGCATTGTAATGTGAATTGTGTCGCTGTTTTAACTATTGTTAAAGTAATTATTGGTTGTGAATTGTAACCAAATCAGATGGGGTTTGGTTTATTCATTTCCCTAAACTGTGATCCATTCTTAAAAAGGGGAAACTAGGTAATGGTTATTATTCAGAAAGACAGAAACTATTAAAAGAAACCCACCCCCCTCCATTGAAAACTCTCAAACCAATGTGAATATAACTGTTTGCATTAATAAGTTCCAACTAAAAATTTTGGGAAATTTAGAAACTAATATGGTACTTATTCAGACATTTACCCAGACTCATTCCATTTAAAGAGAAAGAAAGGGGAAGCAAAACAAATTGAAAATTCTGTACTTGCATATGAGACAAAAAGACTTCTGAGAAGTGTCTTGTTTCTAATCTAATCATTTTTAATAGCCAGGTTTGGAAAGTACTAATTTCTAAATTTAAAACTCATGGACTCTGGGCTCTCAATTAAAATTTAGGGTGACATTGACTTCTCAAGCTAAGGAGAAAAAAACTACCTTTCTTTAAATAGTAAAGATCTTGAGGGCTGGGAGCGTGGCTCAAGTGGTAGAGTGCCCTCCTGGCAGTGCAAGTCTCTGAGTTCAAACCCCAGTACGATTAAAAAAAAAAAAAAAAACTTTATGAGCAGCATACTTTTATGAGCAACCACACCAATAAAAATGTGGCTGAACCTTTAAATGCTAAATGATTATTAATTTGCTATTTTTAAATAACTTAGGAATATATTGATATTTGAATATTGTTAAAACTCATGGGCTTTATTTAAAATGAAAGATATACAATAATATATAACATTCTTAACAACCAGAAGATATAGAATATATATAACTTGAATATAAAGGGGAAAATTCAGGATCTGAATTATAGTTCCACTAGAACCAGATTAGAGGGCATGTTGAGAAGTACTAAATAAATTACTCTCCAGTAGTCATCTAGACACTTTTATTATTTAAATGAGTTGATTTAGGTGTTCTTTTAAATAAACTCTGATTTCTGGGAACCATCTCTTTTTGTTAGTTAATAATGACTAAAAGTATGATATTGTCTGGAAATTTAAAATCATAGGTTTGCTCTTTCTTGGTAAATTTCCTATAAAGAAATTCTGGCTCCAATATTCAAAAGTTTACTCATTATACAAATGTTTACTGAGTTCTTATTAAGAAGGATGTGATATTTCTAAAAATGGAATACTAGAGAGGTCTCAGTGCTCATGATACTTATTTTCTCATGAAGGAAAACTGACAGTAACCCAGTAAAGAAGTCCATATATAGAAAGTATCAGGTAGTTATGAAAGTTAAGGTATAGAGATAGAGAGTTTCTCTGTGATAGAGAGAAACTGTGAATCCTAGGCCTCCCTAAAAGTGTGCATTTTAATTATTACAACCAATGCCTCCACATTGGGAGCCACTAGTCACAAGAGGGAGCTCCTGGAGAAAATATGAATGCATTTCTATGTGGCAAACCAGAATCATTAGAAACAACTTGAGCATGCTTAAGAATGGAGTCATGTGGCTTGAAAGTTAATACACTCCCAATAGCAGCTCTTTGTTACTGTGATCTGGTTTACATATGGGGACAATCGACTTTGATAATTTTTCTAAGTATTAGGACTTCATTTTTTAAAGGATTATATGATATGGCAGTTGTACATTTATGACTCAAAAGAATAATTGGTTTGAACTAACCAGATGGTATAAAATCTCAACCTAACAATCTGCCAAGTGAAATTAAAGTTCTGTTCATTTCAGAGAGCTTGCTAAAAACCATAATCAATTAGTTTTCAAATCAAAGTATGTAGTCATGCATAATAATTTGACAAAGTATGTCATTTTTGAAGTGGTTTTATGGAGACTGCATTCCTTGTCAGTATTCAGTATTTGATATTTAGTATTGAACCACGAGTCCAGAGAGTCTGTCCCCATAAACCTCAGATCATGCACTCATTTCCATTGTTGAAGTTTCAGAAATATTCTGCTTTATTCATATATGTGCACCTTTAAAACCTTTTTCCAATCTATTTTTAATCTGAACTAGATATCACAGCCATAACATAAAAAGAAAAAAAAATAGCAGGGTCACAAACACACACATAATTAATAAATATTTCCTATGAATAGCTTTCACATCTTTATAGACTCTGGATAATAGAAAATCTTGCATTTTCCACTTGATGATATCTCATATTCTTTTGACTCCCACAGTCTTCTTCCAGATTAAATGCTTCTCATATTGGAAGTTCCACTCCCTATTGAGTGTAGATTAGATGATCTTTTCAGATAAGCATTCAGTCTTAGAGTTCTTCTTCCTCCTGGAAATGGGAACTGGATTTAGGAGAACTTGCTACATCCTTGTAAGTATTGGGAAAAGTCACAACTGACGGGGAGGTTGTTACATAGTGTTCACCGAGAACAGATCTCTGGTCCCACTCCTGGGAGTTCTACTGGTAACAGCTAGGTAGCCTGTAGTCTGTTCTTTCTAATTTGGCCCTATCCCAGCTCTCTCTGGCACGGCCTCATTTCATGAGAACTGGCTGTGATTCCAATTCATTGCCCTCCCAGGATGCTGCAGTTCTTGGCTTTAAGGCCGAGAACTTCACCCTGTAGTAGTGACACCCTACCCAGCACCTTCAGCTTCTCCATGTCTCAGGCAAGTCTACCTACTGAAGCAAACAATTCCAAAATTTTGGGAATCTACATCTACATAAGCCAGAAAGAGGACTTGCTTTATTCAGCCGTTCCTGGGGACAGACCCCTCTTAGGTAATTGGACATCTATCTCTTAAGGCCTTGGAGTCCTCTAATGGGTCTCCTATCTCTGGCTGACAACAGTGTACATTAATTGTGCAACATGAGAGGCTTCCTTGTGATATTTCCATATGCACATCTGGTCATATTCACCCGCTCTATTACTCTTTCTTATCTGCCTCCCCCACATACCCCTTTAAAAAAAAAAACTTTACAATCTTTTGAAATGGGTTTCATTGTGATCTTTTCACACATGCATAGAATGTACTTCAGTCATCTACACACCCCTCACCCTCACAATGTAGTTCAAGCTGGCCTTGGAGTTGAGATCCTCCTGCCTCTGCCTCCCAGGTGATGGATTACAGGTGTGCACCAGCATGCCGAGCACTTGAGATCTATTCTTGATTAGTTTTTTAGTTCCTATGGAGTTTTTTTGTGGTTTGTTTTTGCTTTGGTGCTGGGAATTTAACCCGGGGTTTCACTGATTGTTGGCTCTACCACCAAGCCACATCCTGTAGCCCCCGTGCACCTCTGAACGATTTTAAGTCAGTAATCTTCAAACAGGGACACATACTCTAAGGGTGCAGAAGTTTCCAAGGGACACAGGTGCATGGACACTTTTCAGGATCTCAGTTTCTAGAGACTTAACCTTCCTGTATGGTTACTTCTTAGAACTGACTACCTGAGAACAGCTCTGTGGTAGATCAAAAAGAATTAACCTAGAAGGCAACACACACGCACAGGAAATCAATGTGAGTCAACTCCCTGTATAGCTATCCTTATCTCAACCAGGAACACTTGTTCCTTCCTATTATTGCCTATACTCTCTCTTCAACAAAATTAGAGATAAGGGCAAAATAGTTTATGCTGGGTATTGAGGGAATGGGGGCGGGGGAGAGGGAGGGGGCGGAGTGGGTGGTAAGGGAGGGGGTGGGGGCAGGGGGGAGAAATGAACCAAGCCTGTATGCACATATGAATAATAAAAGAAAAATGAAAAAAAAAATTAAAAAAAGGTGTCATGCTGGTTCTTCTTTCCTTCCTCTATTTGCAGGCAGTCTTTTCTCTTTCTTTAAAAAAAAAAAAAAAAGCATGACTTCCACTCTAAATCTTGCTGTGTTGGCTTATCTTGGGAAACTCCTCCAGGGCACCAAAGAAAAAGAATTCAAAATATACTACCGGTGAAGTTTCTTTAGTAAAGGTGTCATAAACCTGCTGCAGAACCTCATGGCTTTCCCTGTGTTCATGCATTTTTCTGGCAAGGATGAAGTAATGAGTCAGAGAATTACTGTGTACTGTACAGGGGAACAGTGGGAGTGCTGACTTACCTTTGTTTGCAGCCATTATTTGTCCATCCCCTGACTATTGTCAAAGAATATATTTTTAGAAAGATAATCTGGTGAAGCCAAAGCAAAGAGAGACTGAGTATTGTTAAGAACCTGACATCTTGCACTACCCAGTGAAGATCTCATAGCAAAGTTCTGTGCTTTATCTATCTCAGATTTCTAAACGAGTAGTGAAGATGAGAATTAATGTTCTTATTTGAGTTAAACAATAAATTCAGACTTTTCTGAACGTTGTTTTATTGGGCTCATTGTCTTAATAATGAGAACACTTCTCAAGCAATACAAATAACAACAGGAAGATACTGGGCATGATGGTGCATGGCAGTAATCACAGCTACTCAAGAGGCTGAGGCAGGAGAATCACAAGTTCAAGGCCAACCTGGGCAACATGGTGACACCCTGTCTTACTCACCCCAAACAAACAAACAAACAAAACCAATTAAAAAAAAAACCCAAGAGGAACAGAATCAGGAAGAAAAAAGGGTACTAATTAATTCTGTCAGAGGTAAAGAAAAAGACTTAACAGAGTAAGTGATGCCTATTAATTGGAAATGTTTAGATAAAATAGCTGTCTTTGATATTATTTTTTTAACAATATTGGGGATTGACACAAGGCCTCACACATGCAAGCCATGCCTCCAGCCCTTTTACTTTTGTTGTTCTTGTTTTTGAAATGGACTTGTTAACTTTGCCTGGACTGACTAGTTGATTCTCTTGCCTCTGCCTCCTGAGTAGCTGGCACTATAGACATGTACTACCACACCAGGCTTCTTGGTATCTTTTTTGAGTTAGAAAGCAAGTTTTATCTTT